ACTTTGTTGGGTAAGTGAAATAGGTTTTTTAAAGTTAGGAAGCAATTTAGCTTATTTAATATATTATTTATTTAATTTAGTCTTCTAAACGAATATTATTAGGAAGTATCACTAAAAATTACGTTTTCAGATAACTATTTTTTTCGATTTTCTCGTGATTATTTTCAATTATAAAGATCAGAAATTAATATCTTCCTATATAAGTTGTTATAAATCTACTCATTGTAGATTATTTTTGCAGCTTCTTATGGTTAATTCGCTGCGTACACTTACTAATAAAGACTTCTAAATTTAAGAACTTTTTTTTGTAGTTATCGTTAATATACTTTTCAATCAATTACAAAAGCAAACCCAAAATAACACATTATTTTATTTTTATTAATGTTTTAAATTAATCAAATGACCGTAGGTAACAACTCACATAAATGTTATAAATTTCAACGCATCAGCTGAAGGTTCACATCTATCATGGAACTCCGGTGGCAAAGATTCCAACTGTTTTGTAGCAAAATAAAATGTTTGCTGGCCATCTTTTGCATATGAGATAGCAGCCTATAAAAATATTTATGCGTTATCTGTAATTAAGTCGATTAAAAGTATGAAAATAAACAATTTGCCGATTACCTCAAACAGGAATGTTTTGCACAACTCCGGATCACCGCTAATCAAAGTCGTCCCGACAGAATTTATTATCAGTGAGCATTCTTTGAAATTATTCCATGCATTCGAAAAAAAGTATATATATATACATATAGTCTCGCGAGTATGCAATATCACGTCGCCACCTGTCGGATGCAAAATCCAGTCCACCACATTAGGTCCATAAAAGATGGAGAACAAAAACAATTCACAATTACGCTTTTTTCATGAGTAAACAAACAGTTTTGCCTTGATCCATTGTATTGTTCTATCAAGTTCTATTCAAATAAATATTACCGATTACTCAACACTGATTGTGGGTTATTTGTCGATTGCTTGGGTTGAAAATATACTGAGTAGCTCTGATTCCCGGTCTTTCACTCAGTCACATCACAAACCTAACCTCATCACTTCACTCGTGCTAGTGGTTGTATATGTGCAAAAATTTTCATTCAACTCGTGTGCAGTGTGTCAAATAGAGGCGACTGAAAATGATCGTAAATATAATATAAAATGAAGTTTCTTCACTTAATTATGTACGACATTTATCCTACTATGAGCAAAAACTACTGTGATGATCTCGACGTTCAAGGAAGTCAAAATATTTAAATAATACATAATCACTTGCTTGTTGAGAAATAAAAAATGGGAAACGAAGCGCAAGTCAGCAGTATTCTCAACAAAATTTTGGTAAGTTCAAAGGAAATACATTGTAACTTTAAATTGAAAGTAATTTGATTCTGAAATTTGTTAATTTCATTGCAGAAAGTTGAATGTATAGAAGAGGCATTCAGCTGTATTATCGTGCACAATCCAAGCATAGAAAAAGAGAAGATCACAGCATGGCAGAAGGAACTAGCTGTTGCAATGACTGGTTTGACCAGTGAACAACAAGAAAATGTTATAATTCGATTTTTGAATGTCACTGGTGAAATTACAAATCACAAACAGATGCATCTTATTCTTTCACTGTTAGAAAATTTAGTTGCTACTAATGTGTTGCCTTCTAAGTAAGTAAATGTATATATATTGTTTGATATTTGTAAAGCTTGTTAAAAAATGGTTAAAATTTATCATATTAATACTCTACAGAATGGTCTGTGAACGCATTCTAAATTGTGAAAAGTTACAGTACAAGAACAAAGAATTTTGGATAGAATGTTTCACTTTGATTCGACATATAATCGGTGGAGTAGATTATAAAGGAGTTAGAGAGATTATGAAGGTAAGATAAATGATCTATTTTTATTACTAACCTTATAATGAAAATAAAGATTGAATAATGATCATTATCTTGGTATGTTAATAGTCATGTAGAGAAAAAGCTTGTACCTTACCTGTGATGTTGGATGCATCAGTGCAGTCACAAATGAAAGTCTTAGAAAATCTAATAGAATATATTTTTGATAGGAATGCTTGTTTACTTCCAAGCTACTTAATTATTAATGAAATAATAAATGACAGTAAACAGTGGCCACATTGGGTAAATATTTAACAATTCTTTTACAATTAATAATTTTTAAAAAAATAGTCACTAAGATTGCATGTTTCAGAAGCTAGCAAAGTTGATATCTAATTTCATAGATAGTTTTCGTAATGTAGTGCAAATGATTACAATAATTGGACATTCCAAAATGTTACCAATTGTCGAGCATACTGGTTACGCTGATTATTTAGTTAGCCCATGGCTTCTTGATCCTAATACATTGCAATTTTCTTTGAAAGGAAATCTTCCATATGATCAAGAATTACTAAAACCTCAGACAAACCTTTTAAGGTATGTGTTAGAACAACCTTATAGTAGAGATATGGTTTGTTCAATGTTGAGATTACAAAAACAGGTAAGAATAAATTTTTATTAAAGAAATTCTCTTAACACTTGAATTACATTTTGTATTTTATGTTAAGCAAACTGCTAGATGTGCAGCTTTAGAAGAACAATTAGTAGATTTAATGATATGTAACATGGAGAAAGCTGAAAATGAGTCTACACCAGTTGAAAATTCAGATAATGCCATATCAAATTATTTGCCTTGGCTGCATTTGTCCTCACAGTTAATTCATTATGTGGTTTTTCAGTTTGTTAGTTTTCCTAGCTTCATTACGGCAATTCATGATAAAGTATAGTCTACGTTTCTAAATTTAACATTTTTTTACATCTCATATTTTATAATAGATTATCACCGTTACAGTTAGCTGGTCGAGAATGGAAAAAAGCAAGAGATCACTTGATGTGGGTATTATTGCAATTCATTTCTGGAACTATCCAGCGGAAACCTGTAAGTTTTTTGTTTGAAAAATGTTTAATAATTCATGTAACAATAATTATTGTTTTGCAGCTATCAACTTTTCTACCTATCTTTCAACTCTATGATCTTTTATATCAAGAGAAAGAGCGATTGCCAATACCAGATCTCACTCAAGTTAAATGTATTCATGAAATGGCTATAGTTTGCATTTGGTTACAAATTGTTAGAAAAGCTCAGCATGAACAATTGAAATGTTTTAGACCCATACCTCTTAATTTGATGTCTCACTTTGAGTAATGAGATTATCACTTTTTTTCACTAATTATTTTTAAATTAATAACTTTATATTCTGTGTTTTTTTATTTTAGATTTCTTCATCAAGCTGTTACTCAACCTAATTTAACTATGGGATCAGACTATAAAATAGTACTACTTTGTAATGCATACTCAACAAATAGTCCAAACGACTACTTCACCAAGTCAATGGCAGTGCTGTTTGAGTCAATTCAAAAAGTATACCTCATTTCGTATTTTCAAATAGTTTTATACGGAATTTTATTTTCTATTTGACTTCATTTTTTATAGAGCCATCCACAACAACCAATGCAAAATCTTCAAGCTAATCAACCAACGGTGAACAATCCAACCACTCCTTTGTCAATGGCAATGCTCGACTCTTTGACTGTTCATGCCAAAATGAATCTCATTCATCAAATTGTTCAGCATATGGTCAAAACTGCCCATTCCAAAAATCAGATGCCTCTTCCACCAGCTTTGGTTGAAACTTATAGTAGATTACTAGTTTATACAGAAATTGAAATCTTAGGCATCAAAAACTTTATATGTAAGCGACTTAGAAAAAAATTAGACTAATCGAAGAAATTTCAATATATATTAAAAATTTTCAGCTCAACTATTACCTACAATGTTCAAAGCTCATGCTTGGGGTACTCTCTATACGCTTCTAGATATGTTCAGTTATAGAATGCATCATATTCAGCCCATGTACCGCGTACAAATTCTCAGTCATCTGCATAACTTAGCAAGTGTTCCTCAAACTAATCAAACGCAATTACACCTTTGGTAAAGTTAACGTTTAAATATCGATAATTTTTGTAAATTTTGATTATAAGTTATTAATTAGGTGCTTCGTATTTTTAGTGTTGAAAGCAGTGCCTTGCGTCTCATCACAGGACTTGGCTCTGCTGAGGTACAACCGCACCTTTCAAGATTTTCATCAGAGCCAAAAGTACTTATTTCCGCCGATTCTGAAGAACTTAATAGGGCTTTAGTTCTTACAATTGCGAGATCGATGCATATTACGGGTATTAACTATTTCTAAAATAAATTATTGAATTTTAATCCACTCAATATAACTAAAATTTGTATAGGTACTGGAGGAGATGCAATGAGTAGTACTTGGTGTAAAGAGTTATTAAATTCTATTATGCAAAATACGCCTCATTCATGGGCTGACCATACACTGCAATGCTTCCCGCCGATTTTAAGTGAATTTTTCAAGCTGAATAGCATTCCTAAAGAAGATAAGCAGCAGATAAAGGTGGATTAATGAAATTTAGAATAATTTGAATGTAGTGATTTACGTAATTATAAATATCTCTCTTTCATAGAAATCCGTTGATGAAGAATACAGAAATTGGAAGTCAATGAGTAATGAGAACGACATTATAGCTCATTTTTCAGTTTCTGGCACTCCTCCCTTGTTCCTGTGTTTATTGTGGAAAATGATTCTAGATACTGAACGTATCAATCCTATTACTTACAAGTAAGCACAAAATCAAATTTATCTACATATTACAATACTGTAATCAAATTCAGTAAATGAAATATATTCCAGGATACTAGAGAGAATAGGAGCTAGAGCTTTATCTTTACACCTCCGCAAATTCTGTGATTACATTGTATTTGAAGTTTCCAGTATAGCTTGTGACGGAACGTACGTCAATAGAAGCGTAGATGCTATTAATGATATGATCTGGAAATACAATATTGTTACCTTTGATAGACTTATTTTGTGCTTAGTAAGTGTTTCTTAGAGACTCATAAGTAAATCATATTCACCTTGAAATGTAAGCTAATAACTTGACGTTCATCACAGGCTCTAAGAACATTAGAAGGTAACGAAGCTCAAGTGTGCTTCTTTATCATCCAATTGTTACTTCTCAAATCCGCTGAATTTCGAAGTAGAGTTCAAGAATTCGTGAAAGAAAACTCTCCAGATCACTGGAAACAATCTAATTGGCACGAGAAACATTTGGCTTTCCATCGAAAATTTCCAGAAAAGTTTGCCCCCGAAGGAATCATGGATCAATCTTCCGGCAGTCCAAATCAATATCAAAGCTTTCCAGCTTACTTTGGCAACGTATGTCTCAGATTTTTACCCGTCTTCGATATTGTCTTACATAGATATCTTGAGTTGCCGATACCGCAAGTTACGAAGAGTTTAGAAGTGCTTTTGGAACATTTGGGATGCTTATATAGATTTCACGGTAATAAATATCACTTCATTCATTCTTACTTAACAATGATAAAAATTTAATAATGAATTGTTTTCAGATCGACCTGTTACTTATCTGTACAATACTCTTCATTACTATGAGCGCACATTGCGTGATAAACCGAAATTGAAACGACGTCTCGTTACTGCAATTCTAGGATCTTCAAAAGAACCAAAAACACTTGGCTGGGCACTGTCTGAAGCTTACCAAAGATTCATAACTCGACCAGTCGATGATGTTCAATGGCAGCCGGAGCTTGACTATTACGTTCGGCTTGTTCAAAAGCTCGTCGAAAGTAAGAGTTTTTACAAAACAAGTATAACATTTTTAATTATTAAATATTTCTTTTTAATATATTATAGCAATGGCTGGAACTGCACAATTTCCTCCAACTGATTGGCGATTTAATGAGTTTCCAAACCCAGCTGCTCATACTTTATATATTACGTCTGTAGAGCTTATGGCTCTTCCTGTAGCTCCAAATGTGATAGCAAATAATCTTTTAGACGTCGTAGCTAAAGGGTAAGCTTACACGATTCTTCGATTGAATACGTAATGTTAATCGTAAGTGGTTGTTGTAGATACACGGTCATCCCATCAGATGATATCCACGCATGGATCAACTGCATAGGAATAATAATGGCAGCTTTACCAGAATGTTACTGGTCAACTTTGCACGAACGCTTAGTTCAAACAATCAGCAGTCCCGAACTCATTACCTGGCAATACGACAATTTAACTCCGTTCCAATTGTTTAATTTTAATTTAACACACAATAGTTTTTTCGATAATAAGTACAGTTACATGCTTGCTTTGGCACACTCCATCTGGCATCATGCTGGTGTTGGACAAATGTTTACTATGGTTCAGTAAGTTTTTGCGAGGAAATAGTATGCGTAGTATTCGAGTGTTTATTATGTGGATGTTTTTTCAGATTTGTCAAAGAGAAGTTACAACCTATAGTTAATACCGAAGAACAATTAATCTTTGCCTGCCACTTGATTGGACCTACTCTAAATAGATTTAACGTTGAGAGACCCAAGTGTATATCTGATCTCACTGTTATTTTGTACGAGATGTTGGAGAAAGTCAATCATACTCAGAGCCATCTGAAACAAATGGATCCTGTTTGTGATTTATTGTATCCTTTTTGGCATATACAAAATAATTGGTATATTTGATTATTACTTTTAATTCAAAATATTTTTCCTTAACCAATCCCTTATTAGGTATCATTTAAAATACATGTTTGTTGGAAACTCCATGAAGAACGAAGTTGACGCGATAATTCGTCGACTGCGTCCAGCTTTACAAATGAGATTGCGTTTCATCGCACAATTGAATATCGAGGAAATTCAGTCGTCCTGAGGAACGGATAAAGCTAACTTTGGTGCGAGTACTTCAACAAATATAGCTAAAGTACAAACTTATGTTGGTGTGAGTACTTCGACAAATATAGCTAAAGTACAAACTTAAGTTATATATTATATTTTTTTGCATTCAAACAACTGTGTGTAGATAAATCCTGGTGAAAGGTATAATGAGATGATGAAAAAGTAAAAATGTTTATTTTGTTCATGCGATGAATAGATTTATTTTTATTACTATTTATATGTCATCTGACAATTTAGTCGTAATTTTATTATTCTTGAAGCATAAACATGTTCTCGAATATGTAAATATGTAATTGTAACTGTAAGAATAATGTGAATAACAAACCTCTTTTTTAAATAATCGCAATTTTTTAAATCTGTATTTGATCCCAGAGTTAATAACTTAAAGATAAATTTTTATGACTGAGTATTATTATAGTATCTTACTGCGCTGCTTTTATCTTGAAGCTCCTAAATTAATTAATTAGGCATTTTATTGTCACTGGGACAGACGCAACTTACAAACTGCGTGAAGCTCATTATTTTTGTGATACAATTCACTATTATTGTCACAATGTGTTATTCATTGACACAAGTCTATTCTCATTTTCAATAGCCTATCTAATAATTCGAAATATAGAATAAATTAATTAGAACAAGTATTACAAATGATTTTAGATGATAAAATAAAATATCAGAAGCTTTGTTGACTAAAACAGATTATTGAAATATATTCAGTGACAACAAATAAACGAATGAACGTGAAATTTCCAAATTTTAAATAAAAAATGAGTATTCAAAATACTCAGCCCCTTTTAAATGTCAGTTTGTTTAGAAGTGTTCATTTCCTTAGACATTTTGAAGATGTCCTTCAATTGTTAAATTGACATGTAAGCATAGAGTACATTTTGCATACAAAACTTACAAAAAATTATACGATATCACATGAGAAAGCGATGTTTTAACATCACAAGCTTTGGAAGATGCACTAAATAGCAATTTAGATGTTATCATAGTCAATGGTTCCTGCATTAGAAGCTTCAACAACTTTTGCAAACACCTCATAAGAACTAGCATTTTTCTTTACAAAACCTTGTTGTTTCATCTCGTAAATCCATTTCATCTGAAATAATATATTCAACAGTATATTTATTCAAAAATCATTATTAAATTCAAATAATTTGCATGAAAATTGATATCTTACAATGCATGGAAACTTTTCCTTATCAAAGTTTAAAGATTCATTGTATAGTATTGGAAGTGCTTTAGCTCGCTCAACAAAGGGCCACATCAATATGTCAATCATACCAGGAGTGTTTCCTGAAGTTATTGGATACATAATAGAAATTTGATCATTTTTAGTTTTAAATAAAAGATAAGATAAAAATACCTGTAAAAAATGGAGTATTTCTACTTTTCAATTCTTCTTCAAACTCTACTAAGTAACCACAAATTTCATCAACAGCTTTTTGAAGAGGTGTAGTATCTTTCTTATGGATGCAGTTAGAGAAAATTTTGACAATCTGAAATAAACTATTATTTAAAAAATAAAATGTTAACAAAATAATTTGAAATTATTAAAATTGTACTTTGTCATATGTATCAAGAAGTTCTAAATCTCGAGTAATAGTTGCCTTGTTATACAGTGGAGGTTCAGGATATTTTTCTTCCAAATAGTTTACAATGACAGTTGAATCAGTGACTACTTTTCCATCAACATCAACCAAGGCTGGGACTTTACCCTCAGGATGAACCTTAAATTCATATAATTATTTATATGAACTATCTACAAAGTACATGTACATTATCTTCAGTATAAAATGGGTTGTACCTTCAAATACCATTCTGGCTTATTTTTCAAATTGATGTTGACAATATCATGCGGTATTTTTTTGAATGACAGTGCCAGTCGAACACGATGTGCAAATGGACAAAACTTCATACTATACAAACGAATGTTACCCTCAACTCTAGGTGGTTGCTCAGATCCTAATTTTGTATTAAAATGCACTTTCAAGATACATTGTTAAGGAAATTATTGAGAACAATCTATAAATTTGACTATACTCCATTAATTTCAAGCTTCCATGGAATATTATAGTTTTTCATTACTCTTCAGATTATTGCTCATATAGAATGCCTTTAATAATTAATTAGAAGTGACTTTTGAATGAACATAAATTATTGTTTACAAAGACGTATAATAAATTTCTTTGTTCTTGCTCAATATTTACTTGTTGACAATATTACAAGTTATGCTAGGATAAAAGGAATGTAGGATAAATAAGATATTTCATGTAAGATTGTAAATTATTAGAGTATAATATTTTTTCCTTAAGCTCAATTTTACTGTCACACTGATTTGCAATTAATCATCAATGTCATTGTAAATCTATAATACAATGGTTTGTATGGTAGTAAATGTTTCTAGATTTCATTAAAAAATTATAATTTTACGTAGTTTTTCGAGGTTCAAAGTTATGAAAAAAAAACACTAGAAATATTTTTAATTTTATAAAGGAAAAAATGATTAATCGAAATAACCAAATGATTATTGATTTGTATGCTAAACTTTGTTTTGAAATAAATAAAAAAGTAATTAATTTTATAAAATTTTATAAATCACAAAAATAATAACTCACCGGGTCCCAAATGCAGTGTACTCATTTTGTTGCCAAGCTGATCGATTTACGACTATCCGCAGTTACAAAAATGTCGATAATTTAAGATACGGCAGGAATTAATTAAGGTTGACGCCGGGTGCGTCAATACTTTTAATAGGCTATATAAGTATAAGTAGCGTCGACAGCGCCAAAGTTCATATTTTGTTTTTGTCAATGCTAAATCTACCGTAGCCGAATTATCGGCTGTACATGCATATCACTGCTATCAAAAAAATCCAGGTACTAGAAGATCGGGCCGACTCGGACACAAAAATTAATTATTTTCCAAATAAATGACACATGGTTGGTTTCGTTTCAATTTGTACTATCCGAAAATAAAGTTTTAATAATTTGTACCCCTCGACAAAATAGGCAAAACGAGAAAATAATAAAATGTCGGAAAATCTCTGCTCCTAGCACAACAAAATAAGATTTTCTTAAAAAAAATACAAGTAGTTTCTTTTTATTTATACCATTTGAAAATAACAATTTTGCCATTTGTACTCTCCGTAAGGGTCTGTCTCCATAGGGCCTGCCTGAGTCCGTCCGAGCCGGCCGAGATTTTTTATGGGCACGCCATCTCTATAATTTCGTGTTCATGCGTTTCTCGTATTGGCTGCGTCCGATCGGGCTCGTTTATGTAAACGCAGCCATTCACTATGAAACTCGCCATTGGATACGAAATTATAGAGATGGCGTGCCCATAAAAAATCTCGGCCGGCTCGGACGGACTCAGGCTGGCCCTATGGAGACAGACCCTAAAGTTTGGGAAAAAAAGAAATTTTACAGATTTAACCCAGTCGTTGATACAGTCGTACCTTTTGCGCATGTGCGGGGGAATATTTTGATTCTGGCGCGAAAATATTCGATTTTAAAGTAAAAAAATCAAGCAAAAAACTTCTATGTAATTTATACTATTCGAAAATTGCAAATTTTTCATTTTTATCTCTATAAAAATAGGAAAATCAGCTCTATTACTATTCCTAAAATAAAATTGGTAGTCATTCAGAAAGAGTGAGTGAGAAAAAGAAAAAATCCGACAGGCGACAGATTATCAGTGAACACCATAGAGACTATATCAGGAGAGTTAGTATTGTCTGCAACACTATTCCCCTCATATAAAAATTTTCTAAATCTTATCTACCGTCCACCCCTCCCCTTGCTCTACGTAATTGACAGCGTCACCTTAAAAGGGGTGGGAAATGATCGATTCAGTTCATCGCGGCTTATACAATATCTCGTCCTGTTTATGTCGTCTCCATGGTCATTAGCATCTGCTGGTAATCTGTCGCTGTCGCCTGTCAGACTTTCTCTCTCTCTCTCTAAACGGTTACCAACTTTTGCTCACTAACTTTAAGAATAGCAATAGAGCTGATAGAGAAAACTGCAATTTTCTAGTTTTTATAGGGGTAAAAATGAAAAATGTTGTGCTGTTTTTACTATTTTCTCGAGGGGTACAAATTATAAACATTTTATTTTAGGATGATACAAATTGAAACAAAGCTAACTATGTAGCATTTATTTGGAAAATAATTTATTTTTGTGCCTGAATCAGCTCGATTGCACCCACCTTACTCTCGTTTACCACTCAGCTGTTTTTTATTGACGAATGTCGATGCGCGTATGTCACGTGTTTGAAATGTATTGACATCATTAAAATGCGAATTATCTAATCTAATCACTCAAATTCCTATACTAATGATGTTTTTTAATAATAATTAAATATTTATTAAAATATCAATTTAATATAATTATTACAATTTTCCAAATAATGAGCATGAGAAATTTATTTTATTTTATTTCATTTTACATAGCAATAAAATTTTTTATCCTCTTTGCTTGTAGGATATAAGATGTAATTCTTTCGCAGTTAACAAATTGCTCTTAACGGAAAATAAAAATTGTGAGGTTCATTACATTAAAGTAAGTGAATCATGTTTTTATGGGTTACAACTAACGATTTTTCTATAAAAAAATGTCCCGTTACCTCCAGAAAAAATAATGTATGTTCACGTTCTATTCTTATGGCTACGTAATGCAATTCTAACGATGACGTCACGCATGAGAATTTTCCATCCACCTACCGGATAGAAACTAAACTACAGAAGACGCTTTTCCGATAGTGGCAAGAGCATGGTATGGCGTTGGTGAGAGCGAAAGAGCAGCAGTAAGAGCAAAAGAGAGAGAGAGAGAGAGAGAGACGAGAAAAATTGCGTAGCGCTGATCGGGTTATGATCGGAATTCGTAAATATACGGGGGGTCGCCGTATGTACCTTGCACATGCTATTGATCCCTGAATTTATGTTGTGTTGCTCATTGGTGAAAGATACACTAATGGGGATTGGTTATCATGCTCAAGAATGTTATTCGTCGGCAATTTAGTCGTGAACAAGGTGTATTGTTGACTACCCGGTAACGTAACCTCTTCAGTGTAAGCAACCTGTGGTGTGAAAGAAGAGTGGAAAAAAGAGGGAGAAGAGCAAAAAAAATCACATACGAGTGGAGAATGACGATTACCGGTAACGGGTTAGCAGATTTTTACTGATGATGAATTAAAAAGTGGTACGACAAGTGGAAGAGGATGACCAAAATGAAAAGCTTCTTGTGATTGACTGAAGGTTCGTTCGACCTGAAGTAATAAAGATGGGCAATGAGTCGCAAATTATTATTATTCTCAACGATATTCTTGTGAGTTTTTTCAATGATGATATATTACAACATTGTTTGATAGTTTTTTGTACAAGAGTTTGTTTTTGTGATTTTAGAAAGTAGAAGCTATCGAAGAAGCTTTCAGTTGTATTATTGTGCATAATACTAATAACGAAAAAGAAAAAATAACAGGATGGCAGGCTGCATTAACAAACGCAATGATGGGATTGACTCTGGAACAGCAAGAGAATGCTGTTCGCAGATTTTTATATACATCGGCAGAAATCACAAATTACAAACGAATGAATCTCATACTTTCATTACTTGAAAATCTGGTTTCTAATAACGTTTTACCTGCTAGGTAAGTAGAAACAGCATGTTCATTATGTTATAGTGAATTAACAATTAAGGGTTTTCAAGTTTTAATTTTGCCTACAGTTTAGTTTGTGAATGCATTTTGAATTGTGAAAAATTGCAATATCAAAATGAAGAATTTTGGATCAAGTGTTTTACTCTTATTCGTCATATAATTGGTGGAGTTGATTATAAAAAAGTTCGAGATATTATGAAGGTACTGAAATTCTTACTGATTTTTATCTATATCTTATGAATCTAATGTTTTATTAATTTCAGCTCTGTTCTGAAAAGGCTCATACTCTACCAACTAGATTAGATGCATCAGTTCAGCCTCAAATGAAGGTCTTAGAAAATTTAATTGAATACATTTTTGATAGAAATGCCTGTTTATTACCTAGTTATTTAATCATGAATGAGCTTCAAAAAGAGAAAAGAAATTGGCCATATTGGGTATGCAAATTGTTTACATAAAATTAAATCTAGTCAATGTACATAACAAAACATATTTTGTTTGTTTCAGCAGCTATCAAAATTAGTCTCAAATTTCACAGATAGTTTTCGTAATGTAGTGCAAATGATTTCAATTATTGGACATTCAAAAATGCTTCCAATAGTTGAGCATTCAGGATTTGGGGATCTATCTGGTCATGTTCAATGGCAACTTGATAGAAATACCCTAAAGTTTGCATTGAAGGGGAATCTTCCCTATGATCCTGAATTGTTGAAGCCACAGACTGAACTTTTAAAATATGTTTTGGAGCAACCATATAGTAGAGATATGGTTTGCACAATGCTAGCAATACAGAATAAGGTATAATTATAAGCTTTCACTTAAACTAATTATGTATGCAAAAGTTTATTCTATGGTTATGGTTGTATATTTTAGCAAAATACTAAGTGTGAAGCTCTAGAAGAGCAATTGGTTGATCTTGTAATAAGAACTATGGAAAAATCAGAAAATGAGCCAGTTCCTATAGAGAATTCTGAAGGAGTGACAATAAGTCATTGGCCATGGTTGCATCTCTCATCACAATTTATTTTTTATGTTTTATCTCAGTTTGTAAATTTTTCGACTTTTGTCATTGCAATTCATGATAAGGTACTGTATATTAAATCTTGAAAATCCGCTTTATTTTGTGTTCTATGAATAAATTTTTTCACAGCTAGCAGCAATGCCTGGTAGAGAATGGAAAAAATCGAGGGACCATTTGATGTGGATTTTACTGCAGTTTATTTCTGGAAGTATTCAACGACAACCTGTAATTATAATTTTTAATTTCCTAAGAAAAACTTAATTTTATGATTAATTTGCATAGATTTTTCACGCAGATAACTTTGTTCTGTTTCAGATCAATGCCTTTTCGCCGTTTTTTAAATTGTATGAGCTTTTATACTTCGAAAAAGAACCGCTACCACTTCCTGATTTTTCACAACCAATATGTACTCACCAAATGGCTTTGGTTTCTATTTGGCTGCATTTGCTCAAGAAAATTCAATCTGATCCGGCGAATTTTCATGCAGTGATGCCACATAATTTAAAACTACATCATGAGTAACACAAACTTCTATTTGCTTAACATAAAATACTATTTAATCTATTGTTTTCTTAATTAAACCATTTGTTACAGATTTTTGCAACATATGGCTATACAAAATAGTACTCTTAGCACTAGTACAGATTATAAAATTGCATTACTTTGTAATGCATTTTCGACTAGCTCGGATTTGTTTACTAGACCAATGGGTGTTCTATTTGATTCAATTTTAGGTATTCAAAAGGTAGAAATCATTTATCAATATTATCTAAATAGTATGCCGAACTGTATTAAAATTATCATTTCATTATTAATGCAGAACCAACAACAACAGCCACTACAAGGCTTACAAAATAGTACAACACAAACAAATGGACCAACTGCTCCATTATCCATGTCTATTCTAGATTCATTAACCATTCACGTAAAGATGAGCTTAATACATCATATCGTTACGCATGTTGCAAAGTCTGCTTCTAATAAGAATTACTCGCCATTACCGCCAGCCCTTGTAGAAACTTACAGTAGATTATTGGTTTACACGGAGATAGAAAGTTTTGGTATTAAAAAATTCATAGGTAAGAATAACATTGATTTCAGCCGATCAATGTAAAAATGACAATGTCTAATGAGATTTGTAATGTTTTCAGGTCATTTACTGCCGACAGTTTTTAAAGCACACGCCTGGGGTATTCTTTATACCCTTTTAGATATGTTTAGCTATAGGATGCATCACATCCAACCTAATTACAGAGTACAAATTTTGAGTCATTTACATAGCCTTGCTGCTGTACCACAGACTAATCAAACGCAATTACATCTCTGGTAACTAAAATGATTTATTTTTGAAATCTATCTAAAAAATTGTTTAATAAAAGAAATATTAATTTTTCAGTGTTGAGAGTACTGCATTACGGCTAATTACGAATCTCGGCTCTGCAGAAGTTCAACCGCATTTGTCCAGATTCTTGTCTGAACCAAAAACACTTGTTTCCGCTGATTCGGAAGAGCTTAATAGGGCTTTAGTTTTAACTCTTGCTAGATCAATGCATATTACAGGTATTAATGATTATATTTAGTAAAAGCTCTTATAATACTTATTATATTTTTTTTTAATATTATTATCTTTTCTGTTAGGAACTGGTGGAGATGGAAGTGGTACTTGGTGTAAGGATCTGCTTAATATTATTATGCAAAACACGCCGCATTCGTGGGCGGATCACACGTTGCAATGTTTCCCTCCCATTTTAAGCGACTTTTTCTTACAAAATAGTATTTCGAAAGAGGATAAACAACAGATAAAGGTATTCATCTTTTCAAAAATTTCAATATTTTCTCACAAGTATCATCTGTAATTTAAATGTTTTTGCACTTTAGAAAGCCGTTGAAGAAGAATATAGAAATTGGAGTTCAATGAGCAATGAAAACGATATTCTTGCTCATTTTGCTGTTCCGAATTCTCCTCCGTTATTTCTTTGTCTCTTGTGGAAAATCATTCTTGATAATCATCGTATTAATCCTATAGTGTATAAGTAAGTTCTACGCTCTCTATTGTTATGCATCAAAAGTTTGGCGTTTCTTCATTATTGGTTTCTTCTTTTCAGGATTCTTGAAAGAATTGGAGCAAGAGCATTATCAGCTCATCTTAGGAAATTCTGTGATTATATTGTTTTTGAAGTTTCAAGTATCGCCTGTGACGCAGGATATGTTAACAAATGCGTTGATGCTATCAACCTTATGATTTGGAAATATAATATTATTACGTTTGATAGATTGATCTTATGTTTAGTAAATATCATTCGCTCTTTTTGTTGTTCAATCTCATGTAAATTAATATTTAACTTGTACGTACAATAATTTCAGGCGTTAAGAACTTTGGAGGGCAACGAAGCTCAGGTTCGTTTTTACATAATCCAGCTATTGTTACTGAAAGCTACAGATTTTCGCAATAGAGTGTCGGACTTTGTTCACGACAATTCGCCAGATCATTGGAAGCAATCGAATTGGCACGAAAAGCATTTAGCCTTTCATCGTAATTTCCCAGAAGTGTTTGGCCCTGAGGGAATGATGGAACAACCTTCTGGTAGTCCAAATCAGTATCAAAGCTTTCCACCGTATTTTGGAAATGTTTGTTTGAGATTTCTGCCTGTATTTGATATCGTATTGCACAGATATCTTGAGTTACCGATACCACAAGTAATGAAGAGCCTCGTCATACTTTTAGAACATTTAGGTTGCCTATATAAATTTCATGATCGCCCTGTGACCTATTTGTATAATACTCTTCATTATTACGAGCGAAAGTTAAGGAATAATCCCAAATTGAAGAGACGCCTTGTTATTGCAATATTAGGCTCGTTGAAGATTCCAGGTTGGAGTTTGTCTGAAGATTACCAAAGATATATAATGAAAGATACGAAAGAGACTAAAGAGACAAAAGAGAGAAAGGATATTAAAGCTGTTCCCGTTGAAGTTGACAATATTCATTGGCAACCAGAGTTGGAGTATTACATCCGCTTAGTTCAAAGACTCGTAGACAGTAATTATATTTAATTTTTGTATGTACCTTGAATATTATTTTCGATAATATAATCTTACTTAATGTATCTTTTTAGTAATGTCTAGAAGAGCTCAGTTTCCTCCAACAGACTGGAGATTCAATGAATTTCCTAATCCAACGGCACATACTCAGTATGTGACATGCGTTGAATTGATGGCACTACCGGTGCCTCCAAATGAAGTTGCAAATAATTTACTTGATGTAGTTGCTAAAGGGTAAAACAAGCATTCTCTTTCTTAAATACAGATAAGCAAACGTTTTCTAATTCATATTTAAAATGTTCAGTTACACAATAATCGCATCAGATGAAATTCACACGTGGATCAATTCTATTGGTATTATCCTGACGTCGTTACCAGAATGTTATTGGTCGACTTTGCATATTCGGCTAGTTGAAACCATCACAAACCCTGGTCTCAGCAACTGGCAATTCGATAATTTGTCTCCGTTTCAACTATATAACTTCAATTTGACTCACAATAGTTTTCTCGAAAATAAGTACAGTTATATGCTGGCATTGGCTCATTCTGTCTGGCATCACGCTGGAGTCGGTCAAATTTCCACAATGGCTCAGTAAGTTCAGTAAAAATTGTAGAGAAAGATTACTGGTATCGCAATCGACATTTAATCTATATCTTTTATTTGCTAATCTAAAGGTTTATCAAAGAAAAAATACAACCAGTAGTTAATAATGAGGAACAATTAATATTTGCCTGCCATTTAATCGGACCAACTTTGAATCGTTTCAACCTTGAGGGTCGTAGGTGCCTCAATGATCTGACGTTAGTTTTATACGAGATGTTAGAGCAAGTCAATCGTTCGCAAAGTCATCTTAAACACATGAATCCAATTTGCGATTTATTGTATCCTTTTTTATACTAAAATTTAATATTTATTAATATATAATAGTTCAAACTATAAGTACTTTCTTAACAAACGTGAATAGCTATCACATAAAATATATGTTTGTGGGTGATGCAATGAAGAACGAACTCGACTGCATAATACGAAGACTGCGACCTGCCCTTCAGATGAGGCTTCGCTTTATCGTCCATCTTAACCTCGAGGAAATCCAGTCTTCCTGAGAATTACCTGCCGCCGCTGTTGTTACCAATAACGCGGCGGTCAACCCAATCAAGGTACAAATTGGAGTCAGCAACTCTTTGGTTTGATGTGTTTTTTTCTCTTTTTAAATATTCTACATAAGAGTGTTGTTTATTGAATTTTACGAGAAATTCGAATACATTTATTTGAATTTCCTTTTAACATGAGTGTTATGAAAGAAATAAATTATGTATTAATTACATCAATTTTCTGTTAAAAAATGTTGTCGAGAATTAACTTACACGTTATAGTACGGGAAATATCATTGAAAATTCAAACAGTTTGAATTCTTTATTTCAATAAATGTATATCTTATTCCGTATACGTGATGTTTTGGATGTTAAAAAGAAAGAGTAGACAAGATTTGTTATGTTAAAAGTAAAAATTCTTGTTAATCGTACATGGTTTTCGGTTTCTATACTGCAGTATTTAAGTTAAAATAAATATGGTTTATATATAATAATGTTGTTATAGTCGTGGTTACGATATATTCTGTGTATAAAAAAAGTATTGTTGCTTTCATTATTACTGCAAAGATTTTGATAGCAAATACATTTTATTATTATTGAATAATAATAACGACTAGTATTATAAAGTATTTTCATCTTTAGGAAGTGTATTTTGCATTTTTGCTAAAAATAAAAAAAGGATTCACAAACTTTATGATTTTTCGATGAATGTTTCCCAATATGTGCAAGCACGGTTTGCAGTGTGTTTTTAGACCATTGGTGCAAATAATTTTAGAATGAATAAGTAAGCTAGATTATAAGAGAACACATTATATAGATTTTATTATTCCATATTTACACGTGACTTAAACGAAAACGTATGTACACTGAACATTTATATACGTTACTGTGGCAATTTAGAATATTTTTAATGAACCTTTTTAAGTGTCTTGTTCTTCGATTATGTAAATATGTATTTGTATCAGACGATATAAAGTGTGAATAATAAGTTTTCTTAAAAAAACTTAATTTTATGCAGTGTATTTTAAAATTCTTTCCTTACTTTCTTTTAACACTTATTAAAAGATTTAACGTATCAATGAATGAATGAATTTTTAGTGAATTGTAGTATAAATATTTATATTTCACATGACATTAAAATATAAATAATACATATGAAACATTCAACATAAACTACATTTCGTTTTTATCACAAAAACTTTGACAACTTCTTATGCCATCAAAAACTATCTTTCTCGCAGTCAACACATTTTTTAACATAATACTTTTAGAGACATGAAATTTAAATATGTATATTTTTTTATTAAACCTGACTGACTTTACGATTGCGTAAGTCACATTTTAAGTCGTCATACGTTGCACTTAAAATGTAGTAAACAAAAAACTTCACTAATTCTTAAAAAGAAAAAATTAATCCAACTGTCAGCAAATCCGAAATCAGTCGGTATTATACGGAACTACATTACAAATGTTCATCCGAATTGGTACTTAATCTTCTAATAATATCTTCAATATCCAATTCAACTTTCTCACCATTAGTCTCCTCGAGGCTAATTTGAATCTTTGGTATGGCACCAGTACTGACACCCTCAATCGACTCAACTGGCGATTCACTTTTTTCTTTCAACCTCGTCGCTCGCCACGAGTTTTTCCTGTGATCGTTGATGACAGCGGCCACTTCATTATCGACATTCTTCGACGAAGTAGGCACTTGATCATTGGGTAAAGATTCTTGCTCACCTTCGGTTACGTCACTGTTTTCCGAGCCCGCTGAGCGTCGTTTTTGAACCTTCTCTTCCATTGCTACTCCTTCAAATGTTTAAAGATCAAGACATCAGACTATTCGTAAGAATTAAATCTTTATAACTGACGTTACCTTTATTCGTGGCGGCATCGACAGATTTGCTAGCCGGGAGGATCTTCTTCCACCTTGCGAAAGGCGTGTCGTTCTCCAGCCTTCTTTCTGCGATTTTGAACATTTTACGCCTTTCTTCCGTTCGTTCTTGTCTAAGCTGAACCTAAAGGAAAATATAGACACGATTATAAAAAAATTTATGTACATTACCCAACATACCTTCAAATCATTATTTGACTCCCTAAGAGAATTGGTCAACGAAACCATGTAATAAATGATCAATGTCATGAGAACTATTAACGGGATAACTATACCCGGAGACGCAATGTACTCCAATACTCTGAAAAATAATTTTTGAAAGAATGAGTGTTCGCGTTAAAAGTACAAATATATAGAAATAAACAGTTGGGACGTACTTGTAGTCATGAACGTATTTTGGCAATGCATTTTTAAGGCTCCTCGTAGCTAAATAATAGATCCGCTCGTTACCGGAAAATGGTCCGCAGTGCCATGATGGTTCTACCCAAACAATGGCATAACCGACAGGTAACACACATAAAAATAACATCGTCAGTAGTAAAGCCAGATAAAAGTTATTCGATCTAAAAATATAAAAATAACGAATAAATTATGTGTTGAATAAAATTATATCATTGACATTTTATAATACTTCTACCTTGAAGCTCTGAAAACAATTTCGTGTGGTACATTGCACGTAAGGACAGTCCACGATCGCAAATACATCAGAATAACAAGTTTAATGACGTTGAGAACTATCAGGCCTGGACTGAAGAAACTACCCATCCAAACCATTCCTGCAAGTTAGCGTACGTAAATTCCAAGAAACTCGAGAGACTTCGTCTTACTTGACTTTACCTTGATTATTGACTAAATGTAAGATATTCTCGGCGATTTTGAAATCACCATACTGCGGAAACTTTTTCTCAAGATCCCAGCACCAGCAACTGTTGACGTAACGCACGAAGAGTGCGCGAAAAAAGTCAATAGCCATTGTTGACAGTATGGTTATCGCGAGATCCATCATTGTCAATTTCGCTATTTCCTGGCCAAACATTGTCTCCCAACACAGGCCACGCAACAGGCGGCGAGTTTTCAAATCTAATGTTTTCGTTGACACTAAAACGTTAATTAATGTCAGTTACTTCTAAACGCTTAATAGAAGATTTATTTTATAAAAATTGTATCCTACCAGAAACATTATCAAGTTTGATAGTTCTATTCTCGCAAATACGTTGATAACACCCGACAATTTTGCCAACCCCCTGACAAGAATTAGCATTCACGGTATAAGGCGTCGATGGAGATGTAGGATCCGTTATTTTCTCGGTATTCAAACTCTGAACGCCAGGTACATCCGAAGTTTCATTGTAATCCAGTTCAAGAAATCCATAATCACCAAAATTCTCGTGTGGATAATCGTCATTCACAACGTGAACTCCTATATCATTATCATCAATGTTAGGAATTCCTTCAATGACAATATCATTGTCGTCGATTTGCGTGACTGGATTCCATACTGAAGGCACGTCGTCCGAATTAATACTATTATCTGTAGACGTTGTTATGCTTAAATTGTCCATCGAATCGACAGTTGCCGTGGTTCTTGAGTTATCCATGAAATCGGTGCTCAAGCTATTCGAAGGCGAACTAAAGCTGATCGTAGATTCAGTGAAATTATTCATCTCAAACATAAAAGGATCAATTGTGTCGTTGCGATCTTCTTCACGGAAAATCGACCAATCGCTGAATATACTGTTCACGTCAAATGGACCCAATGGAATTTGGTCTTGAGATGCGTTGAATATGTTGTTGTCCATCAGCAGCGTATACTTTGTCGTTTCAGCGCTGAAACATTATTAATAAGATTATAAACTCCGCATGTTATATCGTAATTATTATTAACCTTACGCAGTCAAAAGTTGAGGCGGCGAATGAAATATTTTCGCTGCGTTATTCGTTGAAAAGTTCGAGCTTATGATTAAACTCATAGCAGTTAGTGATAATACTGTTTGAAGTGTACTTGGCTCGCCGCAAGACACCGGTACGTTAAAGCACATGAATTTAGTAATCGACTCCTTCGGCTTCAAACTTTGCAGCTTTTCGTCCTGCGTGTGACAAATTATTCTTACTAGTTGTCGTTTGGGTTGAAAGCTGAGTGAATTTCGACTTACCGACGAGTTGATTTTTTTGAAAAGAGCGTATATCAACGAGTACATGTTGAGCAAATTAAGAATCATGATGCTAAAAGAAATTGAGAGAGTAAAACCGTGTACTTCGAAATAATTCGTATTATAGCAATGCAGAATACGAACATACCGACCAAGCTGCAGTCTCAATTGTTTTCTCGGATGATAGCTCTCAATAATTCCAAGAACTTCGAAGACGAATGGAAAGCTGTAAGTGATGAGTGTCATGACGATGGTGATTTCGTTTTGACGCCACCAGCTGCTGTTGGCAGCGCGCACGTCTTCACTGCGATCGACCACTTCCACAACTGCCCAGGCTGACAACACCAACATTGCGATCACCAGCAGATTGACGAAGATACGGATGCTTATGACTTTCCAGCTGCAACGTTTTCTTTATCATTTATCTTAGAGTTAGCGATTGTTGGTCTACGGTTTTCATCACGACTAAGGCACATCTATTTGACACGAAGAGAAGCTGCGTGGTGGTTGTTTATTATTTTTTGGTTTTGTAGTTTGATGTAGGTTTTGCGAAGTTTCATGGTTGGATAATTATTTTTTAGTCCGATTAATGACGGTTCAGTTATTGATGCCATGATTGGTTGAATATATACAATATCTTTTTCAACTCAATGTAAAGCTCGTGACAAGTGATACAAAATTAAAAGGAAAAAGTAAAAATTATATGAGTACACTGATATGTATCACACATGCTGTTGCTACTAAACAAAATAATCATCGATATAAAAAGATCTCACTTTCTCTCATCGCGATGTTTTTCCGACTCTTCTAGCAATGCCTCCTTCAATCCCAAAACAATACTGCCAATTCGATTGTGAGCTGTCTCGTCATTTCCAATCATAAAGTCCCACCCGGTAAACAATTTCCATGAGAACACGCACTCATCTTCCTTCTCCGAGAGCTTACTCATGCGCGAATTTTCCGCCATCCTACAAAGAAAAAAAAAAAAATAAAATAATCGACGTCTCGTTGAAGTATTCTCGGAAGAAAAACGCACTTTCTTAATATCGCGACGAAGCTGTAGGTATAGACAACGAGATTGACGACAAAGTAAGCCAGCGGCAATTTGTAGGCTTTGTAAGTGTGCTTGTTGGAGTACCAGCCGTAGAAGAACGGCGAGTACTTGAGATTGCCCTCGAACTCCCAGAGGGTGAGGAAGTGATTGGCTTTGACTTGCTCCTCTGGCAGCATCGTTTTGCGCTCGCCCGCGTCGTCCGTTGCGTTCTGCACCGTCGCTAGAAGCTAAATCGACGCGTTACGCGATGGCAATGCTATTGGTGGCGTTTCGCGGTGCTCTACCTCGGGAATGGCGACGAAAGTCATGAGCACCACCGAGATCACAATGTTCACCCAGAACAGCCAGCGCAGGAATATAAAGTAGGACGCGACTGCCGAGCCGAATTGCGACTCGATTTGCTTGATGCGTCGCTCCCACGGCACCAATACCGTCTTAAAATTGATCAGCTCTCGCTTGAAGTACTGCCACTTCTGCAACAGCGACATTTCCGTGAATCGCGCCATCGGGCGTTTGACGCATTGTACGGGGAACCTTGTTGAGCAGAATGGAAGCGCGCGCGATGGCATCCCGAGTGCTGCGCGTCTGGGCGAGCCTCTCCTGCAGTTTGCCCTCGTGCTTGCTCACGTAGGCTTTGGCTTGGCGCACGAGCTTCAGCTTCTTCCTCAGCGGCCACGGCTGCTGCTTCACGCCGTGCAACACCTCCTTGTGCAGCTTCACGTTCTCGAAGATTTGATCCTCGATCAAATTCGTCGCGCCAGCATCCTCCATCGAGATTGCCGTGCTGCGGCCGAGAAAGACAAAGAAACGAATTCATCGCGGTGCAAAGAGTAACAAGGAAAAAAGAAGAAATCGATCGGAAGGCGCGCGCTTACTCGCCGGAGCTGGTCGTGAAAACGGACGATCGTCGTCGAAGTGCCGTCTCGGCGTCAGGGCTGAACGGCGAAGAAGGTCGTCGCTTTCGCCGACTGTGGCGTCGAGACGAGTTGCGCCTCTGTATGATAGCGCACGCCGACGCCGAGTAGTCGTCTTCCTCGCCACCGGCCTCTTCGCTGCCTGCAGTCGCGACAGCAGAATCGTGATTCAGTGCTTTGCTTCCGATTTCATTTTTTTCAAGAATTCCAAAAGTATTCACCGTGATAAGAGTGCAATCGCTGCATGTCGGGCGATGGCCGCTTGATGAGCGCGGCATCGAGGGTAGCTCGTCTACGCGGTGGATGATGATGATTGAAATCGAAATCACTGCTTGGCGGCGGTTGTGACGATGATTCCGCGGCGTTATCTTCGCCGTTGCGCTCGTCGATGGCGAACGTCACCGAGAGTCGATCCACCGATGGTTGTGGTGACGACGGTTCCACCTTTATATTACATAGTGGATTGCATTATCAAATGTCGAATTGTCGGGTGAATACGTTTCAAACAGTTTCACAGTGACATCCTTTTTTCCGGCTATCAGTGAATGAGAGACGAGTAGATATACAGTGTTGCAGCAAAAATGCTTCCAGCGGACTGTATATCAAAGCCTAAATGTGATTTATGATTCGCATATACCCTAAACATTTCGTGATTGCGTGGAATTTATGGTAACGGTTTCAGAGCAATAGTTTGTGAAATACGTACAAGATAAAAGACTACTAACGTTATCGGGATAACGATTACGCTTGTCTGAGTGATTTTAAATCGAAAATCGTGTTATAAAATCATTTCTCTCATTTCACTTGATATAAATAACTTAAGTATGAGGGAAATAAAAGATATCGCATAAAATAACATCGTTTCGAAGGTGGATCGTTTGATCGCGCTTGAAAATCATTATCACACTTGGGCAGCAATCTGAAAGCTACAACTAAATTCTTATATCTGGTACAGATATACCGGCGCACCCACTACAACTAGTAGGCGAAGAAAAGGACGTAATGAAAAAAACAAGTAAAGCACACGTGTATAGACATTGGTAACTAGCAATAAATCACTTGTACACACCACTTATATGCTTTAATCAGAAAGCTCATGTGCGGCCAAAGCTTCCCTTTGCGTGATTTTGCGTGCTTTCATTCCCGCGTGATCGCGCCTCGTTACAATACAGTATTCTTTGAACAAAGTTCAGCGATGTTATTTCGTGAACGTCTACGCGAAAATTGTTGATTGTTATAAAATCCATTATAAAATATTGTCAGCTTCTTCTTTCATCGTATTGCTTAATGTTTTCGAAGCTGAACGCTTGGACAATAATTCAAAGTTTTATTGAATAATGAAAAACAACTTTCAAGTATCAAAACTTCTCATGATTGCAATTATTTTGACATATATATGTAACTTAGTGAAATGGTTTTCATTGGATATCTTATAAACACTGAATAATTGGCGCAAATTTTCACTTATAACCGTTAAATGTTCGAAAATCTCTTTGTCAATTTTTATCACTTGCTGTACCTATTTTTGGAATTTTCTCTCGAATATTTAATACTTTTGCTTGTATATAACTCAAATTTCAAAAATTTTTATAACTTTAAGAATTTTGAAAGAAACATTCGTAAGAAGAGGAATGTATTGTACTAAATTAAATGATACTTGAATATTGATAATCGTAATGAATTTATTACAGAAAATGTATGTATGTATAGTCTGAAATATTTTATGTACATATTTTTAGATTAGAATTGTCAGTTCTGATATTACATTAAGTTGAACCTGCTGTTAGATAGCGAAATAGAAAACTAACTTTTGCACACTGTTGTTTCGTGAAAATGGACATAAACCAATAATAATGTCTTTCAAATCTTTCGATAATTGAATGCAACATTTATGTCGTCATGTTCTGTTTTAATTAATGGATCAAAAAATATGATATCTATCTCTCAACGTGACAACTAAAACTATTCCTTTGAAATGAAAGGTTCTTTAAGTGATGGAATTTTTTTTCTAAAAATAAACTTGTCAATCTCCTGTAATTAACGAGCACTTGGCAGATTTTATAGAACGGTAAATCCTTAAAACACTTTAAATAAACTCAAGTTCTTTGCTGAAATCAAACTCAACGTGTAAGCATGAAACTTGCACTTTTTTCGACTACATGTCGATGACATATAATTCTTTTATGTCTAAGTAAAATCAAAAACGTTATCTATCGCTCCGCCTATCTTAGGACGACGCGTAGTACATCTATTCTAGCACTTCTTGCATCGCAACAACATAAGCACACTGCAACGTTGGCTCAGCAAAGACTAATTAAAAAAATATGTGCACCTCACGAGTCATCGTCATAATCACAGGTCACGTGAAGATAGTTATATTTTAACATTTAGCAAATTTTCTCATAATTTGAAGGTTTACTATTTATATATAATACGCACGCATAATAATCAGCAATTCATCATTGAAGCACTTATTGAAAGAGCTTTTTATAAATTTATACCGTAAAAAAATATCTTTTTAGAAATCACACGTGATAAAAAAGTGTTTCCGATATTGATATAACGCAGATGTACTTTATAGCTTGCAGAAAATTCATGGTATAGTCGAGCTTTTTCATTTGATAGATCGCCATAATTTTGCGTACAATAGCGTGATGATATTTCTTAATAAATTAGCACATCTATCTTATTTCAGATTAGCTATCTTTTGAAAACATGAAACACAGAAACCTTGTGCTCTAAACTACAGTGTGATTTATGGCTGTCTGACGCCCCTAAACATTTCGTGATTAAGAAAAATTTACGTACATTTGCGACACGTCGTATACATTAGAGATGATGGTATCGCGCTAATAAAACATAAAAATAACGTAAAGCTCATTTACATCTCTAGGCATTGCAGATGTAATCGGTTAAAAAATAGTGGAGAATCGGTAACTCGATTAAATCTGTGCGACAATCTTCTCTCGAACTGACGATTTTTCAGCGTTCCCAAACGTTCCTGAACGTTGTAGAAATAGTTTGCCAAGCGGTCAAATAATCTTGTATTCCACTTGAATAACCATTCGTACATCTCGCATGGTCGGCCAAGCTCGCGTCGCGAAAGTACTCCCCGGTCAATTCCATCAGTACTCACTTGTCCATCGTTGTTTTGCTGATGTTGAAAGAGCAGCAACTTGCTGAGGTGCTTGATCGCGTGCATAACTCACTTTCTCTCTAGATCCGGCGAAAAACGAGCGACCAAAAATTCGCGCACCCACTACCGATCAACATGATCAAATACAAGTCGACACTAGACGACGGCCACTTGTTCACTAAAGACTTTCTCCGCGTACGAACTCACGCAGTTGGCCAACTGGCCGCACCTACCGTCTTCGAAGGGCCATTATTCATAAAACAAGAGCGAGAGAGAAAAAACCAGGACAACCTGCAATCACGACGCGCGTGTGCGTTCCGGGGGAGGAGCTTCTCTTTTTTCCAGATTTTCACGTCTGATAGCTGCTTCACTTTTTTCATATATATTTCATTGTTATGAGACACGTCAAAGGTATATAGAGTTATAGAGGGTTGTAAATTAAGCCATTTTGGATTTATTATGGTTAGAATTAGCTTATAATATTCTGTATTCGAAATTAAGATACGTAATTAATGACTAATTAATTAATTCAAAATTTTAAAGTGATGAGCGAACGTCTGTATGTATACCGATATGATCATAACTTTTATGGGTACCAAATCTATTTTGAAAAAAAAATAAAACTTTTCAGTTCTTCATTTTTCGAGCTGAAATTGCACCGACTCTTGTTTCAAATTCTTCCACGTTTGAAAATTGAAAATTGATTTTTTTTTAATACTAATTTATGATTTTTACGTTCTTTTGTCAGTTCTTAATATCTATGTGAACGTGATTTAATATTACTCATGAAAATTTAAAGTGCGAAAGTATCGTTTGATTTTCTTATCAAATCGCTCGTTTGATCTGAGCCTAGTGATACCATAAAAACTCATTAATCGCAAAGAAATTCTTTTCCCTACAATCATTATATTTTCGTAGAAAATTACCTAAAAATAATAGCTCTTCAAATGCGTTATCTCCTCGGAAAAAAAACTGTTAACGCAACAAAGTATACGTATTTTTGCGCAGTTAGCGGCGCCGCGCCCATGTTGCTAACGACGCGCGACTCGTGAAAGGTGGAAGAAAGCTTACTTATATACGTGTATGCGTCGACGTGTTGGGGAAGATGATAAATTACACATTGTACGGATGAGACTTTAATCAGTACATATGATCTGAACTACTACTACGTGACTATACATTTCAGCAAATCCAACCATGGATAAATTAAATTCACTCCACTACCCATTTACTTTTATAGAAAGAATAAGATTCATTCGGATATGAGCTTCTCTATTATTGTGATTTTTTCTGTAAGCGTGGTTAAACATCATTATAAGCTGGTTAGAACCTTTCTTGCGCGGCAGAATATTATTTGTTATTTTACGTGAAATTCATCACAAAGCTTTAACTAATGTATCGGTTTGAACGGTGGCTTTTGGATGAGAATTTTTAATTCGCAATTGATAAAGTAACCGTATAATAAGAGGAAACACAACGTTGGTCTGGATGCTAGAGTAGAAATACTTTTAATAATATTTACGAGATTCTCCATTTGAATATGTCGTCCAGATTGTATAAATGAAATACTGTATAACGAGTTTAAAAATGTATATTAAGTGCATCCACGCATTATACGAATCTCAGTACGGGTGGTTAATGCTTTAGCTACCTACATCATGCGAAAGCGCTGCGAGCACAGTACCTAGCTACGCATAACTCACTCCAGGCTCAAAGCGAAAAGAAAAGAAAAATCTCATGAATCTCGTATACGTAGAGCTCTGTCGTGTCTGTCCTTCCAGAGTGCAAACACACCCTTTTCGCAGTTAATAATCACGCCACACGTCGGGAAAAGATGGAGGAGGAGCGCGCGAAGGGAGCTCCGCTGACCGAAAAAAAAACTCATCGTACACACAGCGTCGCGTGCGCAACTCGTGACCTCTCGCTCAGTCACTTCGCTTGGACGGCGGCGCTTGAAGCGCACCTGTTTGTTAATTAGCCTCTGTCGGATCGAAACGTTGTTGCAGCACGTTTCTGCGGCTGCGATGCAATGGGTGCTGTACGCCGTAAGATAATGCTGTCGGTTTTTTTCATAGTTTTCGGTGAGTGTGCGTTCGACACTTGGTTCGACACTTGGTTCGACAATAGGTAAATGAGAGCAGAAGAATTTACTGCGTAACTGTTGAATATGATTGCGAATAAAATTGAGGCGAGCTAGTGAACTATATCTCGTTTGCTCGTTTCGTCTACGCACACGAACCTTTTATACTTTCTTTGTTTCCGAAATACTTCTTACTCTAATTTGCCAAATTGAAATAAAGTAGTTTCTATTTTTAAAAGTAACTGTCATTGACTTATCATAATTTTCAATGCTTATGACATTTATCTTTTGATTCGGTACAACCTAGGGTCAATACACGATTCGGCTGGATACAACTACAACAACCAAACACACTTTTCATAGTTTCATTTTTCTAATGGATTGATAATCTTTCCACAAATCAGCATGAATATAAGCCTAATTATGAGAACTCATTGTTTATAATTTTCGATAATTGATATACTAAAAGTATCTTTACGATATTAAAAAAATAGGATGTAATGTATATACGTTAAAAATTATAATTACGCTGGCAGAAATATATTACTTATTCGTACAACGATTCATATAATTTTCGTGACTGACTATGATGTTTCAAAAGAACTATGAGATGAAATACATAAATGGAGTAAATAATATTTGACAAGAGGTGTCAACGAATGTACGCTAAACATCATTGCCTATTAGAAAGAACAAAGAAAAGTTCAATCAAATGTACATTTTATTCGATTTTTAAAGAAATAACGTACCTTTGCATTCGATCAACAAGAGACATATTCCCTTCACAAACTACGCGGGCGATTCCAATTACAATGATTAAAATCTACGCGACCATTGCTCACCGCTTCACTATCTCACCGATGACAGACAAAAATTCTTCGAAAACCATGCACGCATATACATTTCCGTCGACTAAACGAATCTTTCAAAAGTTGATGTGGTACGACGAGCGACGCGCCTTCACGGATGGTTATTACACATAATGCACGATATTAATTATTCCGCTATCGTATCTCGCACATATGGTGCCTATTATATTAAGTAGATATAAAGCATTTTTATTTTCTTCATGGTTATATACATAAAAAGAAAGGCGTGAAATAATCATCGATAACGATCGTTGTGCACGCGACACGCCCTAATAAACGGAAGTCACGAGATCGAGTTTTATATTAAAATAATATATGACGTGTAATGGTCACATATGGGGGATTGAAGTTCCTTGTTTCGGTGGCTACTGATGTTCGATCGACCGGAAAATTGTGGCGTCGAATTGAGATTAACTCTTTTCTTTCTTTTTTCGACGTCAGAGTGGGCGAAGTTAGAAACAGACGTGTAATGCTGGTTAAACATGATTAAGTGCTCAATTTACTCCCCCCTTTGTACGAGGATTTCGGTACAATTGGCTTTAATTATTATCGTTACTCGATGGCTGCGCCTATTGGGAAACGCATTTCTTTTCGCTCATTGACATCTGACGACTTTTCACAAAGTAACTGGGATGCAAGAGCTCGGTCGCATTTTCAAAGTGAAATCTGTCAAAAGCGAGAAATCCCAAGCGCCACCGAGGAATTTAAAGCGCGGATGAAATCCGGGGCTTTGAATCACCCACCTGTGAAGCAGATAGTCGTGGCACGACCATGGCATGTCTGCCGGCTCGCATGTCAACCCTCAGGATTCCTTGGGACTGTCGTCTATGAGGTCGACTATTACCATTGGCTGTTTGCTGGCGTACGGTCACGTCAGTTGGCGACAGATTGGATTCCGTCGATGAATTTTGGCTCTCCTCCACGTCAACTTTCATCTCTTGCTCTTGCCGGTTTTTCAACTTTCGCCTTGGAACTCCTGGTGTTCCGGTGTCCGTCACTCGAGCTCTCGCGCGAGCCCAGCCACAGCGCAATATGTCCGCGCGCGCGAACCAATGAGGGTTCGATCGCACAGCCGCTCCACGCGTGAGAAGGGACGCGCGAGGCTCCTCGCACGGGTGACCGCGTTGGACTACTAATGAGGCGAGGATCGCGTCAAAAACGAAACGCACACACGCGGAGAGGAGAGAGATGTCCGAGCAAATTGTCTGGAGCGGAGATAATGAGAGACTCAATGCCGTGACGCGTTGACTTTTATGCGCCACTCCTATTCCCAACTGGCTTGCACACATACCCGTCCGCGTCCTTTGAGTATACACGTGTGTGCGTTTATACGGAGTTCGAGGGATGAATTAATTAGAGTACTTTCGTGAAAGGCTACACGATGTCCTGTGCACGTGATACTTCTTTTTACTTTCAAAAGTGGTGGGCTGCTTTTATGACCTTAACACGCTTTTCTTGCTTGATAGGGCAAGTATATATATGAGTGGATGAGCTTCTCAGAGCTTTGTGTTACATACAATCATTTATTATTCGCTTTTCTTAGAGTTTCGATCTGTAGTTTGAACGTTATGGTATTTATAATATGTAAAACGATGAATAGACGGACCAGCTGTTTACGATAGTCTAGGAGTGCATTTCATCGCTGATACATTTGAAAAGAAAATAAAGCGTGTCGTTATTTCAAGGAGCATGCGGAAGGTAAGTTAAATTTTTGGGCCCTAGGCTACGTGCCTTATTGATTTGAACGTCGTTCACACTTCATCGCGACCAAACTAATCATGAACGAGCCTTCCGAATTCAACTAATAATTTTGAATGGTCAGCACGACCCACGTGACTTTGGAATGACTTTCAGCTGCACCACGATAACGTCTATACTGATACTTGCCGACATGCGAAATGTTAATCTTGCTCCACATCGTAGCTAATAGCGACCACTAGAATACATACAACTCTTATTTAACAACACATTATCCCATCTTCCCAATATTAAAGCTTTGCAAATTATCTATTTCCTGCTCACCTGATAATGCATAGTCCGACAAGTGTAAAAATTGAAACAATCGCAATAAGGCACGTATTGCAAGAAAAAATACTGTCGTAAATAAAGTAATAATTTGAATATTTTCCAATAATAATCTCAAAATATTTTCCGTATGAAGATATTTAATGCGTAGAATTTCTTTCGGTGCAAACGGAACTTTTAATCTTCCATAAAAATTATTTTACACTTTTGTATTATGGTTGTAACTGCAGAAGGTTCAAACATAAAAATTATAGTATCTATTGCGGTCAAAATAGAAGCAAAGTATAATGGTATAAAACGTTTTGAAAAGATAAAAATTTCTTTGAAAGTCTATCTGATTATTGTATAATCTTTTATTATTACTATGAACTAATTAGTTTTAAGAGAAAAATGTATGCTTTTCAAAATCATGATTGTGTTCTTTTCAGTTTTCGGCGTCGAAAAAAGATAGACCTCAAAATAGGGCACCACTGAAATTTTCGCATTTTATTCACAGTTAGATGATTAGGAAGGACGGGGGTAATAAACCACTGAATATCGGTTTGAATATAAGAATCTTATCAATTGAATTTGATTAGATTATCAAATTAAAAAATAAATGATATAAGCACCAACAACGAAAATTTGTAGACTTGTAGTATCAGTCAAATAATAAGATAGTATAAAGCAGGTACGTAAAATTTCTAAAACAAATTATATTTCGGAAACAAATTATCATATTCTACTAAGATTAAAAATTCATTCTTATTAACATTTTAGTTAGTATGTCAAACTTAAATTTCGAACAACATTTGTATATAAAATAATTGCTATTAATAATAGTTATTTGAAAAAAATAATCAACAGAAAGCTAAAGTGCATCTTTATTTGAATGAGATTATCATACAGCTTACTGTATTTTCATATTTTTTTATTTTTGAAAGTTCAAACTCTCAAACCTACTGTAGTAATTACTGTTCATTTTAAGACAATATCATAATTGAATTTTACAAAAAATATATCATAATAACATCTAAGAATCCAGTATGATTTTATTTTCATATATAAACTAGAAAAGACTCAAATAAAATTTTAGAATTGAAACAATTTTCATATGCATAATAAAATATCTCTTATCATATGCGATGGAGTTCATAATTATAATTAAATTGATTTAATAAAAAGTTATCTGCATATTTCATTTATTTCGAGTGGAAATGTGCTGTAATAACTCTGAAAGCTTAAGATTAGAACATGGCACAAGTATACTCTACGTCACACATATATAGCGCATGTATACGAGCACCAGGAGTCGTGCACACGGGCTATTGGTGGTCGGTTGATTGTAAGGAGAGGGAGAGAGAGATAGCGATGGGCGATAGCGCTTACGAAGGAGATAGTCCACTTAAATCGCAATTGTTGAAACTATGAATAAATGGATTTTTATAGATAATTTGTCAGGTACTTTATTTTATTTTAAGAAGAGTAGGTCCATAGAAACTATCGCTTAAAACATATCTTTAAAAAATTCTGAACTTTGTGCGGTTGAAAACTTTTAGTTTGTTTTTTTATTTAACTTAGCATGTTGATAACTCTTGATGTATTTAATATTTTGAAAATGAAATCATATATTTGTTCTTTAAGAGTCAGTATAACTTGCTATGTCATTTTTATATCTATCCTTCTAGCATAGACGGTCAGAGTCAAAAGCACTGTATGTTGAGAAATATGCAGTGATTGTCAAACGCGAAAAATACATTACACCGCAACTTGCACTAATATCATAGCACATCGAGTTATGGAGCATCGCGCGCGATACGCATTTTCCATCAGTACCGCGCGAATAGTATCGTCGAAAATAAATTAAAATGCAAATTTAGTTTAATTATATATCATTTATTTAGGTGCAATACATTTCATCGTGCATCATGAATTCTTACTTGGACCAACTTGCACGTGACTGTTACGCAGAAATCAGTCAAATTGTCACTTATAGCTTTTGCGAAGGTGTGTGGTTACCGGACGATTATTTGGAAGTGAAAGATGCAATAGATAATTTCGAAATTCGCGACGACGATACTTGGGTTTCTGGTTTCTTTAAAACAGGTAAATAAAAGTAAATATTTCAATCTTTATTTGCGTCATATTTACACGCCGTATTATTTCAGGAACTACGTGGACAGAAGAAATGGTATGGTGCACAGGGAATGATTTGGACTTTGAAAGAGCTACGGAAAAATTGGATTTAAGATTTCCACTACTCGAGTAAGAAAATTATCATGTTGAAAAGTTGACTATATGCAATATGGAAAAATACTCGTTTTTATAGGGGCTCCCATGCACTTAGATCTAGATGTTTGTCGAGACGCTTCAACAATCCTATTTTTGGGCGAACTATTGAAGAAATCGCTGCATTGCCTAGTCCTCGGTTTATATGTACCCACTTACCTTATCACCTACTACCGAAGGCTTTGCAGCAACCAAACAGGAAAGCAAAAATCGTTCATGTGATCAGAAATCCTAAAGACACTTGCATTTCAGCCTATCATTTCTTTCGACGTATCGATGGTTTCCGTGGAAGTTTTGAAGATTTTTGTAAACTATTTATAAACGATAGAAGTATATATTGTTAGATATATGACTTTTAGAGATTTAATTTCCAAAAAATTAGTAAACGCTTTCTTTTTTTTTTTAATTTCAGTACCATGTACACCATTTTGGGAGCATCTTGTGGGATTTTACAAATATAAAGGTTCGGATAACATTCTTATTCTGAAATACGAAGACATGAAAAAAGTAAAATAAAAATAATCATATGGTTATGTGTCTTTATAAAGATATTTTAAAATTGTCATAAATTTGATTCTTGCAGAATTTACCTGCGATTATCCAAAAAGTTGCAGCTTTTTTGGGTAAGTCTTTCAGCGACGATCAAGTGTCTATATTAGCAGAGCATTTGAGCTTTAACAAAATGAAAGAAAATAAAGCAGTAAGTTACGAGAAGACCGGGAATCTCGATCTTGATAAGCTTTGGGGAAAAGAAATATCTACTTCCTCGTCTACATCTAGTCACATGAGAAAAGGAGAAGTTGACCAATGGAAATCAGAAATGTCACAAGAGATAATTGAATCGTTCAACGACTGGACAGATAAAAAACGTAAACTATATCCGGAGCTAGAAAGTGATTTCGGCTCTTATTAGAAATATAACAAAATGACGCCTTCTGCCTGCTTGATTTATTAAAAATATTGCAATATATATTTATATCATGGTGGCAACTTTACTAAATATGTATTTGATGTATATATCAAATTATACAACTATACCTGAGAAACCTGAAAGTACGTAATTCTAATCAATTTATAGAATGCTTGTTATATGGAAAAAATTTTAAAACAATAAAATTCAAATATTTCTGTAAAATTATCCATTATTATTCAATTTTTATGTTATTCTCATAAACTGTTTCCACTGTTATAATCATTAGTCCATCAAGTGACTAAAAAATCCAATATATCAAGGAAAAAATTAATAAGATTGCACTTTTAAGGTTTTATAACGTACCGCATTCTATTTATTATTTTATTTATGGTGCCACGATCTTAACACATGTTTTTCCATCCATTCCTTCTTTACAAAGAGAAAATTTGACACTGCGTTACAATTTTTTTCACAAGCACGTTTGTCATGAACGCTGAAAAACGTTACTGTATTGAATGTACTTAAGTTATTACAGTCGGTTTGAAACGGAGTCTTTTCAAAGACATTTATTAAAAAGTTGGTTGGCAATATTCCATTGGCTGTATTGAGACGTTATTTTCTTCATTGAACACGCGTTCGCTCTAATCATAAATGTACCTATCACTATCGTAAAAATGACGGATTAATTAAGAACTAATATTTACGTAACAGTTGTAGATAAATAAAAAAAACCAACGTTGATTCACATAAATTTACAACGCCATGTAATCGAGTTCACTACTATTCTAAGAAAATTTATATGACAATTCATCAAATAAGCGGGCACACAATGAAAAAGAGACGAGACAACGTACAAAAGTATTTAGAAAAACCTACATCGCTACACGACTTAAGCTTCTTTAATATATTTTCTACTTACTCCTATCCGTATTTGGCCTTCATATTATTATCAACGTTGACGATCTTTTTTTTCTATTATGTACTTTTAACATGCTACTTTTATTTTTTTGATTCAACTTTATTGTTGAAGCTATCACTCATTACTTAAATTCATACTTATAATACTAATAATTGATTGTTGAGGCAAAGATTTAAATAGAGGAACTATCTATGTCAAGGATATTTGTTCGAAAAACATTGTCATTTCATTGCATAATTACACATTGTCAAATCAATATTTTGCCATCAGTTTTTATAGAGAACAATTTTTCCACAGCAAAAATCAAGGCCAAGTCTTTCAACATACTGCAAAATGGTATTCTTGCGCAAATCCTCGACTCAGAAACTCACAGAAAAGAAAAAAATGTAAGCTCATTGACTATTGCGTCGCATATGAATTCTCGTCATAGGCAGTTCAGCAACGAGATCGTTCCTCTCCTCCTCGCCACTATCAGACTCGTCTTCCATTCGGGTCTTCGATTCAGTCCACAATGTCAACGGGCAATTTGTACCGATGCCATTGCTCTCCGTTTGCACGGCAATACTTGTTTTGTCGTTTCTTTTCCTTTCTGGTGATCGCGAGTCTATTACTAGCGGTCTCATCAGATCGTGCAGATTATTTTTCATCGCGATTCTGTTGCGCGTTTCAGGCTCGTGGTTACATTTGCAAGGTAGCGGTTTGATGAACGACGCCTCCAAGATTTGGGACGGCGGCTCAGGAGAGCCAAAACCATTGTTGAGGATTCCTCGGTCAGCCACTGGACGCTCGAGGGAGCGCGAACGGAAAACCGGCGGCCGGTAGCTGCTCGGCCGTGGCAGACGCGACGGCCTCTGTAACGTTGACGCTGGGGATGACATTTGAGAGCGCTGAAATGGAAATGCGCGGGATTAGCAATTGCAATGTTTTCGTCGAATTTTAAAAATCATTTAGAAACATTTGTCTGGATTGAAAAATAAAGTCTACTTCCCGAAGCATTCACGAAGTAAAATTGGCATTGAAAGCTGCGATCGGTAAACACCATATTCTCAATGAATTATTAATGCGAAGAGCGCGCGTTCGAGTTACGTAGATTCGCAAGTTTAAAAACAAAAACCTTCCGCGCGAGAGAAGCTAAATGCTCAACTTACTCGCTCGTTGTAATTTCCTTCGAAAGAAAATAAGAAACAATTAGCATCGTCGTAGGAAATTGAAAGAGACTGACCGGTCTTCCTGTCGGTGGAAGATTGCTGCCAGGCCCAGCAGGAAAGCAGTGAGGCGCAGCGCCGTATAAGGGAGTTGTAGGTGCGGCGGCACGCAGGTTATCCCACAATTGGGCCTGATAGCGTTGAAGCAGCTCGTCCGTGTAACCATTGCTCGGCGTATTTGGCGAACGTTGATTGTAACCAAGGCCCGAATAATACGAGTCGAGTGGCGAGTAGATATGTGGTGCTGCTGGCAATTGTGGCTCCCACGGCGAGTTATACTGGTTTCGGGCAAATGAAAACTGCATCGTGGATATTAGATTTTGATACGTGTGAACGATGTGGATATGTCGATGCTTTTGATGAAAAGAAATTGATTGCTGTTATAATTACTCCTTAGTTAATCAGTTGGCTTCAAATTTCATCTCTTAAATGTAAACTATTTAATTCAACGTTCATAAATAAACTTTAATATAAAAAATTTAACTTACTTAATTATGTTCCAAAACATCAGTAAAACGTTACATAGTCGTGTAATCAGTTTGTTCGAAATGTAAATGGAACAAACGAAAATTTATTATTAATTCTATAATTCAAGAAAAAAAATTGTCAAAACATACGTATTTGAATTAAAAATTTCTACATAAATTTTATTTATTTCATGAAAAGCATCAACACTTACATTATATTAGCAAGTTATTCAAGGGAACATTGTATTTTTTACATTTTTGGACTTGGATTTCACATAAATTGAAAGGATCCGATTGTAATTTTTTTCAAAATTAAATATTACGATTCTAATAAACTAATGTCAAATGTTCTATATGCTCTAAAATCTAATATACTTCCACACTCTTCAGTTACTGTGAATCTATAATCTATGAAAGCATATATTATCGAGATTATTACAAAATGATACTTGTTCAAGTGATCTAAAAATGGTATATAAATGTATAATATAAAATTTGTTACCTAACACTTGTTGGTAGCGCAAACTCCAAAATCTCGTGGAAAGACCTGTTAGGCAATTGTATTGTCACAAGAGCAGCTCTTTAGTATGCGGAGTTACATTATCAGTTATTTTTTTCGAAGTAGCTACTTAAACTGACACATACAATGGGCAACTATAGCAACTAGTTTCTCAATGCTGACGACTCTGTACAAGCTTCAAACCATGCTTTAAAAAGAACAAAAAATACAATGTATGCACTTAAGAATTCGTTATTGCAAATGTATGGTTACACTGAAAACGGCTGACACTGGTGACTGTTGATTGACGTGACTTGATGATCTCTGTATTATAGTGTAAATATACAATGGTGAACTGGCAAAAATAAAACAAACAACAGTGTGTATCTTACACTTTTTTATAAAAAAGGTGTTTATTATAAAAAAAATTGTTAAAAAAAGAATAACTACCGTACATGCTTAATAAGGCTTACGGGCTATCTATGGCGCTCGCAAAAAAATGTTATAGCATTGTATACTGAGGATGCTGATATTCTATGAGAAAATATGAAAAATGCGAAAGATATATAATACGCGATACAAATACACTTTCGTCTGTCGTTTCAAATTCACTCATATAAGAACAATATTTCACCGTAAATTTCCCGATAAGAAATTCGTGAATACTGAAGTGCCGAAAAAAGAGCGTGAAGATATAACACCTCGAAATGCTATCGCACACTTTCGTCATCGTCGATATATTTTAAAACTATCTAACTACAAAAAGAGAGCTAAAAAAGATCGTCGTTTATCCCGTCGACAGCAACGACTTATACTCTACTTAAACATTTAGAATCTCTATATCTCTTTCACTCGGTTACACAAAAGTAGAAGATCCGCTCAGTCGACATAGGGTTTCTATAAAATTAGCCTAATACTGCAAGAGAACAGTCAGAGATTCTCTCTTTAAGTACGTCAAAAGTGAGCACGAGCACCACAATTAATAAAGAAAATTAAAAAAGCACACGCACATACAAGGCAGGCAGTTTTTTTTTTGTTTTTGCTCAAGGCTCAATGCGGTAGAGGGTTACCTGGCCGACGAGGCTGTCGGCGGTGCCTTGCGTCAAGGCGCTTGTCACTTGGCTCGGCACACCGCTTATGCGCTCTTGCTCGCGCAGATGGCTCACCAGCGCGGCTATGTGCTCCAGTAACTCCTTGTTCTGCACGAGGAGCTGGTGAGTTCGTGCCTGCAATGATACATCAAAATTTCCAAGGTACGTAGGAAAGATCGAAATTAACATACGTTTATGAACTTTGAAAAGAGAATACGTTTGTAATGGCTCCTATTGGCGAATTTTTGAAGCTGCTGAGGTATCAATTTTGAAATGACAATTTGACGCTGTACTTTTTCCAACCGCTGAAATCTCTTTTCAACCACTTCTCTAAGACCCCCCGAGTTATTAAATATCGCTCCGTCCTAGCAGGTAAGAACTTTCCGAATTGACTTCCAAGCAATTCGTCGGCGCGCTATAAAGTTTTCCAAACTTTCGAAAGCTTACGAGTTTTCGAACTTTTTAGCATTATTTGCTTATGTCCTAGGTGAGCAATATAATAGAAGTTCCGTACTTCAATGCAGCAAATTGATTATGCAACTTTTGAGGAACACAAAAGATTATAAAGCAAACAATTTAGCTTTAAAGTATGCTTCTCATCGGCTTGTCATATAGACTATGATAGCTTGTTCTTAGCAATTTTGCTCCTCAAAAGTCTGAAGCTTTCCCAGAATTATACAGCAACGTATAAATGCCATCTATCTCGCAAAAAGCGAACGTCACCCAACGATGCTCCAATATTTACATTCCAATCTCGTTGCACGAGATATAGCATATACATTTCCCATTTGAATCTCCTTAGTCACGGTTCGCTTACATCACGACACGAGAAGAAAAAGAATAGCTCACCTGAGCCTCGACGCGAGCCGCAGTCTCAGCGGCAAGTTGATCCTGAAGTAATCGCGCGTGAGCGACTGCCGCGCGAGTCTGTTGGCTTTGTTGGTCCAGTCTTTCTCTTAGCAGCTGGATCTCGTGTTTCAATGCGGTCAATTCCATCGCTTGTTGATCTGGCAGTGCGTTGCCCTGCGAACAATAACCATTAGAAAACAGCTCGATCGCTACTGCTGCATAGCGACACTTTGGAGCTATTCGTAATTGCTTTATATCTATTCACACTTTTCGATCGATCTAAAGTCAGATACTCAAAGACCAATGTATTCCGAAATATCTGCGCTAAGTATACTTGCGCAATGACCTGGATCGAAAAAAATATTCCACGAACCCGAACCCTTGGACGATACAACTTTCCCTTCCGGGCCACAAAAATTCTTTCGTAGTATTTATAGCAAAGCACCGTTAAAAGACGAAGTATTCAGAAGCAACCGCAGTGCGTTACGACCAGTGTCACGGTCTATCTCTCGGTCGCTCGGCCGGTTCTTCTCGAGTTTCTCTGCACTTGACTTACCAGCGGCGAGTGCCTGACCGGCGACGCTGGACACGTGGTTGTCGTCGCCGTTGTCAGTAAACACGGTTGGTCCAAAATCGAATCTTCTGCGTCTCCTAGCAACGATATATCTGTAAAAAGAGAGAAAAGGAAAACAAAGAATGATTTATATTGCTACCGACAGTCTTTATTGACTGTTCGACGTGACTGAAATTGGATTTCATCAAAGCGCGGAGAACGAGATTAATTGGCTTAAACAGAACGGAGCTTAAAATCCAATAAACTTGCTCGACTCCGCTTTGCACTCTCCTCTATCGAAACTTTTCGCGGGAGAGAAAGATCCTTGAAACCGACGAGCTTGAAAATTGCAAGCGGCATTGGGCGAGCTTATAAATATTTATTTCTACATACGACCTTTTTACTTTTTTACGTATTGGGTAAGATTATAAATATCTCGTGCAATGAATGATACTCCTCGCGATTTCCCGGGATTTAATACGAAGGGCAAGGCTATCTTTGCATTTCCCACTTTGCGGATGCGTGGTGAGAGAGAGAGAGAGAGAGAGAGAGAGAGAGAGAGAGAGAGAGAGAGAGAGAGAGAGAGAGAGAGAGAGAGAGAGCGAGAGAGAGAGGGAGAGAAAGAGAGTCGATACGATCGGCAACTTCCTGCCTTTACTGAGAAACTGTTACATTATTTATGACGTCAAGCTCACGCTCGCAAAGGAGACAAAGAGCTTCGCGTTGGGAGGACAATTGGCAAATCGAAGCGCATTTTCGGCGCGCGCGTTATTCCGAGGACTTTTTTTTCAAATTGTGACTTTACGAGAGCGATGTGTGCGCACGGTTCATTCGCGAGAGAGATATATATTTTTTTGGCAATTTTTCCTAATCGATTCTATGGGAATATTCAACTATTTATCTTTTGGCGATCTACGCAAATTTAAGTTCAATGACTCACTTGAAAACAAAAACAACTCAATATCGTTATACGTATACGTTGAACTACTTGCATATGCACACAATAACAATTCTCTTCGCGAATAAAGGATACATAATTGAACCGTTCTAAAGAAAAAAACCTATTATACTTTCTAACGCGAGAAAGTTTTTCCCTATTCGGTGGAATATTGACGCGAAGTCAACAAATTTTTTTTTTTTCGATCGCAACGACGATAACAATTTCTAACTCGTTCTTGAGAGAAGAACCTCGCGGCAGTTGTCTCAAGCAGTGCATGCATAATTAATTCCGAAAGAAAAAATGAAGAAGTATGACCTCGGGGATCGTCGCGAGAGACTCGCTATAATGGGGTTGTATGCACGTCGGGGATTTTCGTCGTAAGGGAAAGTTATTTTTTAGAATGTATGCCAAGCTCTAGACTTCGCCGGCTGCGCGCATGGGAAATTCATGTGTCACCACGGGAAATGATGAAGGTTCTTGGTATAGCGAAGACGATTAATCTAATAGTGTTTATCTCTCGCTTGAAGTTACTCGGCTGTTTTTGATTTACGATAAGACAAATAAGAATCTGCCATATAATTTCGAATAGCAAAAATCAACCGTATTTCCGAAAGAAAATATTTAGATCTTCAACGTTTTTAGTGAAAGCATTCTCCGAAATTAGCTGGATCGCAAATAGAAGAAAAAAAAGAAGAAATTATAGCCACCTTTGTGAACGGAGGCAGGTGATGGCTGATGCTGGAGACTGGCAAAGTCGTCGCGATCGTTGTAAGAGTCCTCGTGATTGTCGCGACGATGGTTTTCGCCGTCGCCGGCAACCCGGTCTTTGTCGCGCTGCTGCTGCTCCTCGCTGGACACCGGTGGATTGTTCAGACTTAGCTTATGGCACACTTCGAACGCCTGGCCGACTGTCCTTACTACTCGCATCGCTTGGCTCTGTAGGCGGAATCATCAAATGGTTAGTCGTGGATCTTGAACGAATAATTGACTTATGCAAAATATTCATGAAATTCTCAAGGGGAAATGTTTCTGAAGGGAGTTTTCAAAGGGCAAAGTCTAGCAGAAGTGACTCAAAGTAGGGTTTCGTCATCGAGATCCCTCTAGCTAAAAGCCTTGGTAAATTGTTTACGAAAAAAAATTTTAGTGGGCGTTGCGAAACAGTCGATACATCAGCGCTTCTCTAACTCTAATTATTTATATTCGTGAGGTATTCAAGTACTTTTGGCCGTTGGCGCAGCTTTAACGTGTAACAACGTGCTTAAGCGGTCGATCTCTGATTGGTACCTGTATTTGCCGTCGGCAATCCATTATTCTTTTAAACAAAAGCAAAAGAAATTCAATCAAACAAAGCCATTGCAATTAATTCCACAGTTCAGGTTTCCAGCACGCAGCATATTATCACGCGTGGCTTCTCCTCTGCTGTAAAATAATCTCGCGAACTGATAACAGTAAACGTAGCAGGACTCGCATAATTGTTCGAACCACAAGCGCACAGAAGTTTGAATATATTCATATCCACGACCGCAGCATAGGCGTCACTCTAATCCAATATTAATAGGAATTTGTGTATAACTGACACAAGCCACAGAACGAGCCTAGCTGTCCGAACCCGTTACGCGTTGTGTAGGGAGAGAGGAACCAGGGAGAAAAAAAAAGAAATGAGAGCCGTTTCTCAGAATGCAACCGACAGGAGAAAACAATCCTTTGTCGCGGTTTGTTATAACGAGTGGAAGGCGTGGGCTCGTTAGTATCGGCGCGTAATTTTCGCGCGCCGTGCAGCCTCGACACCGAGTTACACATACATAACTGTTAGGCAGGAAGCGTTAGAGTTCTTCGCGTAGCTGCTCTCCGATGCGTCACGGACTTTTATTTGCAGGAATTGACGAGAGTGAGAGAGAAAGAGAGAGAGAGAGAGAAAACTGCTGCATTTTTATTACCGCGGCTAATGACGGATTTGCATCTGTCGACGCTTGCGCGGCCAACGGAAATAGCTCCATTCTCTCGACGCTGCCCAATTCGTGCGGAGGATGCCCCTCTGAATGTTCTATTGTTTGCGGATCATTAGCGAAATTTCGAGTTTTCGCGCCGTTTTTTCTTTTTTCTTCCTTTGTTCTCGCGCGCAGTGACCGAGTTCTCGCGCGAGCTCATCGTGTGTAGCGGTAGTTTTCTGGCTGGGAGAAAAAAAAAAGAAAACTGTAACAAACAATTAAATTCTTGCTTTCGCTTTATCGTCGATTACAGGAGGATAAAATATAGTGCTAATGTGAATGTACACGATTATTTTTAGTTTGCGTTCGATAACGGAGCAGTTCAAAAGCTTTGTTTTATTAGATATCTAAATGAATGTTCCTCAAGACATTTTGTCTTTGAAAGGACGTTCGACATTCCAGAATATTTAATGCAGCATATCCGAGAAGCTTTTCTTGCACCGAGCACCATAGAATTAGTTCTTGTCTGAAATTCAAAACTTTTTAAGCCACCACACCAAGTTTTCAAACAATAAGCAGGTACGCATTTCAGTTTTCGAGAAACCATAAAGCAATTTAACTTTAAATCGACAATCAAACTGCTGGAGTGAGTAGTAAGTAGCTTTGGCCAACTTCTTAAGCCAACAACTCCAGCTCCTCTCGGCAAACTTGAGAAAACAACCCTCGCTAAACAAAACGCAACACACACTCATTAAACGAAAATCTAACCTCGAGCTCATCAAGCTCACGTTGTTCCAATCCGCGCTTAGGCGGTGGTTGCAGACTACGCGCTCGCTGTTCCCTTTGCTTTGGACCACGTCGCAATGACATTCGACGGAAACCAAGAAAGCCCATTATCTCGTTGGATGGCTCTTTGAAGGAAAATTTCTTGCGGCCTTTCGGCGTTTCGATCATCGTTACACCTGCTTCGTTGCCTGGACTCGCACTTCGACCACGTCGTGAGAGCATTTTATTTATTTTTCAATTAAGTTGACCATCTGTAGAGAGAATAGATTCTACGTGTACGGCCTTAGCCTCTGTTTATTCCCTTTTTTTTTTTGTTTGCTTGTCCGCAACGGCAAAATGAATTTCCTTTATGCAACTTTCTTATACTTTATTTCGCTCTTTTTATTTTTTATGTTTTGGAGCAGTGATTTACTTTCTGGAAAATATAAAATGCCTGCACACGCTTTTCCTAGTTTTCTATTCGTGTGAGATAAATTTTTTAACTGAGCGACGTGGTCGCGGTCGAGTAGCTTTTCATTAACGTTTGCGGGAGATATTTCTTACTTTTTAATCTTGTCAAGTATTTTATTTTTAACTCGTTTGGCGAATCAACGCTGATTAATGCTCGGGCGAGAATATTTTCAGATTGTACCATGAGGATTTTAGCTTTTTCAAATTCCGATCGATTCACTCCGGTCTTGAAAACTCCGTCGGATTACGAAATCAGTGGTAAAGATCGCAGCTGTGGTCAGACTCGCAAGTGGACAGAAGCGTACCCATAGCCGCTGACTTTCAGCGTGCACATTAAACATACCACAGCAGCGTTGAACACACAGTCGCGCAACCAGCAACAATCTCAGACACCTTTTACTCTCGTAGCGATATGATGCGTCGAAGAAAGAAGGCTCTCGGGAAACTCAAAGACGACTTTGAAAAAAAAGAAAAAGAAAACGGCCGAACGATCCGTAGGCGCGCGAGCGAAAGAATCCACGTGCCACTTCCCACAGATGGAGATTCGGTTTTCTCGTCGCGCCGGCGGCGAAAACTAACGGATGCAAATCGTCTCGGGTGCGCCGGCGTACTACTGCCGCGCGCGAGTTTTCCGCGGCGAGCGTACAGTTGGCGAACTGAGCGAGCCGACGAGAGTTTATTTATAAGCATTTTAATATATTCGGCGCCATCTCCGCACAGTGGCACTCTCCGCGTGTCGTGCTTCCGTCATGTGGCTTGCGCTTGGATGTTTGATATGCGATACAGCGAGGAGAGAGAGAGAAAGAGAGAGAGAGAGAGAGAGAGAGAGAGAGAGAGCGAGAGAGAATGAGGGGGGGACGAAAATCGGAATTTTCGGAAGAGTTTATTCTTAGCTGTAGACTTTGACACAGACTTTGGATGTAATTATGTAAGGATTTATTTTTGGCTGTATGTCGCACCGTAAGCGTCATGTAATCGTTGATATCGGTTGACAGATTTTTTCGTTTTTGCTTTTTCGCGTTTGCTGTTAATTTTTTTTTTACTCAATTGAAGATGCATTTTTATTTGTTCGCTAAAGACTCGCGGATCGCCGAGCACGGCTTTATGTTAAATTTGCATCTGATTTGTTGTGATACAGTCGACGCGCGAGCCAATTCAACAAAATGGCAATTAATTAAATTACATTACTCGCGCGCCGTGCTCCGTTGACAGAACCAATTAAACACGGACTGATGCGACGCAAGCGCATCGCTATACATGCAGCTTCAAAGCTGATATGCGAGTTTAATTGAAAAAAGTACATCACTTGTCCCAACGAAACGAGGTCTACGAACAACGTGATATCATCCAATTAAATTTATATCGCCGTTAGAAAAGTAAAGAGGATAAAACAGGATGCGGAAAATCAAATAATATTCTTCGATGTCGACGGAAATTAATCGAATTGTCCTAATCGGATAGAAATTATGATCGTTCTCGCCGCGGAACCTAATTTAAAAGACCGCGCACGAACGAAAAATATGAGTCGTCAAGACGATAATTTAACAAGCCACTAGATGTCACAGTTGCATTATAGTCATTAGTCTTATAATTCCTCTATTTTATCATTGTTTCTCATCAAGCTTTTGAAAAATAAATGGGACATTCATTCCATTTAGTTTTGTGCTGATCTAATACAACTACAATTTGTTTAATTTGTCATGCTTAGTAAACATAACGATAAAATAAAACTCGATAATTATAAAAAAAATGTCCTGAACCTTGTCCCACGACCCTCAATCAATTATTACTATTAGCCTTGTACTAAAAATAACTATCCGATAATCGTGCAATGAAAACAATGAGGCTCTTTTTGCTACCCACACGTGAAATACCAACCACGACCACGCATATCATTCTCTAAACACAATGACTCAAAGCCCACCTTCCTATTTCTTCCGGTAAATTGATTCTATGACTTTCTTGCCGAACAATGGCCCTCTCTCTCTCTCTCTCTCTCTCTCTCTCTCTCTCTCTCTCTCTCTCTCTCTCTCTCTCTCTCTCTCTCTCTCTCTCTCTCTCTCTCTCTCTCTCTCTCTCTCTCTCTCTCTCTCTCGTCTACTTTCGGTAAAATCGCACTTGCACTTTCTTGACTGTTTGGAAAGTTCCTCTTTCCCTTCCTCTCTCTCTCTCACAGCTTCTCTTCCGAATTTGCAAGCGCGGCTATTACTCTCCTTTTATTGACTTTTCGTGAGGATTTTCAATGAGCACTTACTTCCCGCTAAATTTCATTCTTAACTCTCTTTTCCCCATCGGAATTGCCGCTCACGAATCGTATGTTATTCGCGAAAAAAGAGCCGTTCGTAATTCGACGATTTTATCGACACGATGAATAATCGCCATAGTTGGCAATCGTTTCTACATTAGTTAAATCAATAACTCTAAGAGTAATGATTCCAACTGCGAGTTTAATCGTTTTTTTTTAACTGTTTGCATTTCGCAATAGCAATAGTCGTAAAGCTCGAAACGGCCCAACGCACTTTTCACTTATCTCTCGGCTCATGTGTTATTAAACCAAATACAAATTCATTAAGCCAAAGTGCATTGCCCATTTTCTTGGCTACTCGTGATTTTTTTGCATGAAGAACTTCTTTTTATTTATAGAATGAATCATCACCACAACAAGACTTATATGTATATATATATACACGTATAAAGTGGGTGGTAAAGAGTTGTTAGTTGGCTGGTCTTGTGGAAAATTAGATAAAATCACCTTTGGAAACGATTATCGGCCCACCGGAGCTTACGTAATATACAACTTCGCATTTGTGAGAAAGAGGTGTTTTGGATTATTTGGCTCCCTATTACTTTAGTAAGCGAGTTTAATCGGTGAATTGGGAAATAGAAATTGTGGAATTGAAGATGTTCTTGTATTGGAAATGGAAAGGGCATGACTTGACTCGAATGGTTTTTGTGAGATTTATGAGGATTTTGATTTTTATTCGACTGAGGTTTCTTAAAGATTTTAATTTTAATAAGAGTTTACCTCAAATGCACGTAATAAAAAATAAATATATACCATGAAAATACGTTTTTGTTGTGTCAACAGTGTATTGATCATCCATTTCGATAAACTACATTTAACTCAGCTGTCTTTCCTTTAATACTGAATGATGGTGATACACTATCCTTAACATCAATCATAATAGTGATCGATTAGTCTGCCATCAAAACTTAACAACCGCATAAAACTGAAATTCTGTGCGGTATATTATTTATTGCAACATTTTTATAACAATGATTTAATCTGTAATAAGCGGAATGCAATACATTTACATAAATATATTGACCAGATTTGCGAATTTTAAAATTAAATTCAATTTAAATTGACTGATATTAGTTTTTAAAGATTAAATTTGATTATATATGTAGTAACACTGCGAATTTCACTTTCAGGTGATGTGATACTAATACACCTCTACTGGAAACTGTTTCAAGCTGTACTTTACCATCCAATTCTCATCCGTTTCCACAAATAAGCGTGATATGTTCGTATTCGTATGAAAATTTCTAGATTATATTTAAATATAACCAGGCAAAAATAACTCACCTTTTTGCTAGATTTGAAGACATTGCACCTGAACGAATTATTATTGCCGTCACGAGCGATGTAGCTAAAGATTTTGAGGTCATGGCTGTCGTGCGACACGTAAAATATCCTGTAGATCGGATGATGCATAAGAACCAGTTTGCTTTCGTCATGCCAGTGCTGCTTCTTCTGTAAAATCGGAAACTGCCGAGTTCGAACGCGTAAGTTGGGTGTCGGTCACACTATCACGTTTGTGCGATTGATCAACTTTTATCGATGAAGCGAGGAGTGATGTATGTGTTGGTGATTTGTGCGCACATCGAAGGGATATATCCAGACATCGACAGAGAGCTGCTTTATGATCTATTGTGGTGGAATGGGGATACGTTTATAGGAAAACAAATGAGGAGATAACAAACAACGTTTTTCTTTTTGTACAACTATGTAATAATTTTTATTAATAAAAGTTTACTCTACTCGATTAACTAATTTATTTATATTTTATTATCGTTAGAAAAAACAAAGAAAGTTATTAAAAAAAGCTTTTCTAATGAAAAATAAGTACATGAAAATAATGAATATACAGTAAATGTAAACGCGAATGATAAACATAAAAAGTTTTATCTTTTATTGACTTTTTCTACAGAGTAGTCAAATTACCACCCATAAGCTAATAATTTAGCAGTAATAACTGTCGACATTTTCCGAAACAATAACACTTCCACCGAACATTAAAAAACAGGCCATTCATCCTCGACGTGTCCGAACACTCCTACATGAGTAACTACTACCAGTCAAAACGCGCGTAAAAAAATTACGGTTATTTCGTTACAAATGTACCGTCAAACAAAAAACTCAGTGCTTTGCACAAAACGGCACTTAAAAATCGCCATAACTACTCGATAAAAAAAAATTTCACGTACGTCATTGGGGACCTTCGTCATACGCTTCTCCCGTAGGTCAATTACGAAATACATACGTACGTACCTTCTTCTTCCTAAGCGTGACCTTGAGTCCATCGACGGAAACCTCGAGCGTCACTTTCTTCTTCTTAATCCCCTTGGCCTTGAACTCATACTGCAAAGATAGAGAGAGAAGCAGACATGAGAGCAGAAACTCGTTTTCGTTACCAACACACTAACGCACGAGCAGTAATACACTTACGCGGATACGGCGCATCGCCGCCACGATCTCCATTCGGCTAGTGGGCCGTGGTACCTCCATCGAGCCAATGAACTGCAACGGAAAAACGATGCATTACGCGCGCTGATAGACAGAGCAGATGTGAATTTTAATTGTATGCCGTTCGTAACGCTGCCGTGGCCATTTTCAATTCCACATTCGTACCATCGCAGTCGCACTTTTCAGCGAGATCGGCGGGAATATTGCTGATACGGGCGTCGATGCCTCTGCTATGCTCTTGATGGCGCATCGCTTTCGAGAGGCGTGCGCGCTTCCGGAGTTATCGGACTAATAGTGCGCATCGATCGCTGACGTGCCAAGTTTTTTCATTTCCTTTCTCCCATTCGCGTGCTCGCGATCGTCATTGCGCAAAGTTTCGCGTTACACAATCGTTTCGAGATGCTTTTCAAATCGAGACTTGGTCCAGTCGCGCAAAAGTCAATTTCATTGGCACCGAGGCGCGATCGAAAAAGAACAACACAGTACACACGTCGTTGCACAGGATCATTTAGAATACCTCGGCCGACCGTTCAATCATTACCATATAATTGCCTTCGCACAGAGCGTAAGAACATCTTGTCCAATTTATCAGGTATATAGTAGATGCGAGGAGGAACAATTTTTAATTAATCGCAAACGCTCGCGCACACAAACCAAATCAACGAGGGGGGTATCTGTGCACAAGCTCTTGTGCGCGTGTTTCGAAAAATACGAAGGCAATCAGCATTCCGATAGGCTAAAGGCGCCGGAGCGTAAAACGTATCTTGGCGTGTATGTATATCCTCTCGTAAAAGTCGAATAAAGCCTCTCGCAAAGCGTGTTAAAGGAATGAAAAAGGCATTGGTGTGC